CTATGGTTATTGGAAGCCTAATTTTGCTTATGGATTTTTCTCCGGATATGATTATGCATCCAATAGATATGAATCAGAAAATAATTAGAGTATTCAAAATATCGATCTAATGGTGGCTATGCTAAGAGACCATCGAAAGGGAAGAATGGGTTCCAGTATAGGTAGCTAACCACTTTCAAGCATCAAACTAAAGTATATAAGTTCATGGCTCTAACTAAGGCTAAACATTGTTCAAAAAAACCAATTAAATTGAACCAATTCTATTCCATTTTAGAACTTTTAAGTTTAGTTTGATTAATATAGAAAAAAAGGATAGCAAGATAAAATTGGTTTGGTGTAATTCTTACAAATATATATATAAAAGTATAGCAATATGCATTATATGAAAGTCAAGTCAAACCTCTGAAATTGCAAGTATGAGGAGGACAATAATTATTTAGCACTTTTATAAGAAGATAAGGTGTAATGATAACAATTATAAGAAGATAAGTTGTTTTATATTTTTAGATAATGTCTTTATCATGATAATATCTATTATTTACATCCCATCAAGATAATGCATTAAATTAAATTAAAATACATATAACCCAAGCCATAAAATAAGAAATACTTAATTTATACCAGGAGCTAGGTTGCACGGACACAAGCAACGAGATACGGAACATACGGGATATATGATAATAAATAAAAAATGATTTATAAAAAATAAAAAATAAAAAAATACTTAATTTTTTATTTTATGCATTTAAATTAAATTAAAAATACGATATAACCCAAGCCATAAAATAAGAAAATACTTAATTTAATACCAGGAGCTAGGTTGCACGGACACAAAGCAACGAGATACGGAACATACGGGATATATGATAATAAATAAAAATGATTTATAAAAAAATAAAAAATAAAAAAAATACTTAATTTTTATTTTAATATAATTAGTTTTAAATTAATACATATAACTTAAAACTATTAAATTAAAAATATTTAATTTCTTATTTTAATTGATTTACCTTTTGACGTATTAGGGTAGTTTTATATATCAGAAGTTAAGGTTGCACAGACACGGGAATTTACGAGATATGAGAACGTACGGGATATGATAATAAATAAATAATATTTTATTAATAAATAATAAACCATAAAATAAAAAATACTTAATTTTCTTATTTCTTTCTTATTTCAATATAATTAGTTAAATTCTCAAAATTATTATCACTATTGAAAAATTTATATCTATCTATATAATATATAAAAGCATGGTAGTTTACTTTATATGGAAGTCAAGCGTAAGTAGCACAGTTTGTCACTTTGTATTATTTTGGATTATAGAATGACGGGTATTAGAATTCACACAATTTAACACAATTGTAAGAATTATAAAAAGACAGTTGTTTTATATTTTCAGATAATCTATCTATCAAGATAATATATATAAAAAAGATTATCTCTAGCATTCAATTTAATATATTAATGTAAATTTATTTCTTCTTACAAAAAAATTAATAAGTAATCCACACGCTTAAAAAGAGTGTGAATAAATAATATATTACTATTAAATAAACAATATATAAGCAATTTCAAAAATATAAATTGAAACATACGAGATACGATAATTTCTAAAAAAGTAGGATATCCACACACTTATGACACACTACACTAAATAAGTAATACATTAATATTTCAAATAAATAAAAAAAAATTTATAATAAATTATAAATATAAAAAAATAAAAAAAATTTATAATAAAATAAATTATAAAATATAAAAAAAAAACCTTAAATTTTTCTTATTTTCACTCAACAATGTTTATAATAAATTATAAATATAAAAAAAAACTTAATTTCTTATTTCAATGACACAAAAAATATTTAAAAATACTTTATTTTTTATTGATAAAAAATCTTGGTTGATCAGCTTGGTGTATAGAGTAGTCTCATACACCAGGAGCTGAATTGCACGGAAACAGGACATGAGATACGAAACGTACGAGATACGATAATTTTTAAAAAAGGTAGGATATTCACTCGTTTAAAACACACTACAGTAAATAAGTAATACATTAATATTTTAAATAAATAAACAATCATTTATAATAAACATAAAATAAAAAGAACACTAAATTTCTTATTTCAATTGCACGAGCAAATAAAAAAAAAAAGACACTTCATTTTTATTGGTAATAAAAAAATCTTAGTTGATTAGTTTGGTGTATGGAATAGCCTCATATATAAAGAGTTAGGTTGCACAGAACACGAGATACAATAACATATGAGATATGATAATTTTTAAAACAAGGTAGGAAATCCACAAGTTTAGGACATAGTATACTAAATAAGTAATAAATTAATATTTCAAATAAATAAAAAATCATTTATAATAAATTATAAACACAAAATTTAAAAAAAAACATAATTTCTTATTTCAATGACAAAAATAAAATAAAAACATAAATTTCCTTATTTCAATGACAAAAAAATAAAAATTAAAAACACGGAACTTTATTTTTATTTGCTAATAAAAAATAAATCTTTGGTTGATTAGCTTGAAGTATAGAGTAGACTCATTATACTATGAGCTACGCTGCATTGAAAACGAGATAGTGACAAATTTTTAAAAAAAGGTGGACATCCACACGCTTAGGACATAGTATATAGCTAAAATAAGTAATTACGTATTATTTCAAATAAATAAACAATCATTTATAATAAATAATAATACATAAAATAAAGAATATATTTTCCTTAAATTTCAATGAATCAAAAAGCAAATGTAAAAAAAATACTTTATTTTTATGGTAAATAAAAAAAAACACTCGATTGAAATATTTAGTTTAGTAATAAGGAGTAGTCTCACATACCAGCGAGCTAGGTTGGTACGGACATTGACGGAGGACATGAGATACGAGAACACGTACGAATATGAAATTTTTAAAAAATAACTATTTAGGAACATCCATATGCCTTACTACCACTAAATACAGTAATACATAATATTTCAAATAAAATAAATAATTATTTCATAATAAATATAAACATAAATTAAAAAAAATAAAAATACTTAAATTTTCTTATTTTTCACAATAGTATGTTAAGATTCTCGCAAAATTAATTATCACTATTGAAAAATATATTAATAGTGTGGTATCGCATTTTTTTTTTGTGTAAGTAATAACCATGTATGACTTTTGCTATATTGCATACCTTATGAAAAGCTCGGGCAGTAGATACTTAAGAAGCATATTTTAGCATCGCAATTTTTTTTTTCACATGTCTCAATAAAATACAATTTATCATTTTATTATATAATTTTAACTGAACTTTTTTTGAATAAAATACTATTTCATCTTTTAATATTATCTTGCGCATTGTGTGGATTATAAGGGGAAAAAAGCAATTATATTTTCAAATAATATCATATAGGAGGAAAAAAAAACTAAATTAATATTAATAAGCAAAAACTATTTAATTTGGAAATAAGAAAGAAATATAAGGGAAAAGAATTCCGATAATTTTCTCTTCAAATTAGAAGGAAAATAAAATATTATAAAAATAAATTTGTAGAAAAATTAATTTTATTTTTTTTATATCCAAAAAAAATAAGTAACAAAAGTTCTTTCTGAAAAAAATTTATTCCCTTCTTATTTTTTTTTTGATTATTCATTAATAAAAAAAGATACAAAAATAAATTAAAAAACACTTTATCACGCGATACAGAAACGTACGCGATACTATAATTTTTAAAAAAGTAAGAGATTTACACGTTTAAAACACACTACACTAGATAAGCATAATACATTAATATTTCAAATAAATAAACAATCATTTATAATAAATCATAAATATAAAATAAAAAATACTTAATTTTAAATATAAAATAAAAAATACTTAATTTCTTATTTCAATATAATTAGTTAATTCTCAAAATTATTACTACTATTGAAAAATTTATTAATAGTGTGTGTGCATTTTTTTATACAGATCATACTTGAGGAGTCAAAATGGGTCACAACATGTGAACATGATTCACATAACACGCGAAATAAATAGGTTAGGATTGAGGTTAAACGAGTATAACATGTTGTGTCGCGGGTTGACACGCGGGTTAGGTGAGTGACTCGTTTATTTAAGAGTAAAAGAGGTAATTTTAGTGTTAGATATAAATACTCCAACTAAAAACTATTTAAATTTTATTGTTGTATTACTTTTTATTTTAATTATAAATCTTGAAGAATTTATTTACTGAAGAAATCTTAATGTATTTTACGTGTGAATTTTTATTTAAAATATGGATGGAGTTAAATAGATTAAGATTAGAAATTATAAAGCAAGTTAAGTTGGGTCATATATAGGTCAACACATCTATTAACATATTATTGCATAATTGAAGGTATCGTGTCCGTGTTTCGTTCAGATCTAATTTCGCGTTGTGTTTTATTAAGCAGGTTAAACGTGTCGTGTTCGTATCAACCGTCTAATTTTCGCGTTGTGTTTGTGTCGAAGTTATAAAAAATTATTTTATTCTTAAATATTATTCTGCGCATCGTGTCGGTTCTAACACTAGTTTTAAAAATAAAGGAAAAGTAAAAAAAAAAAAGGCTTAAATCGGATCAGTTTGATTATAAATAAAATTCAATTAATTTAGTTGGATTTCTTTTGAAAAAAATTCAATTTTGTTTAGACAAAATGACTACACATTGCCTTAAAACTTTGTATAGGTAAAACCATATCTTATGGATCAAACTGAGAAATAAGTCCAAATAGACTTAACGGCCCGCATCCATTTGGCATTCTCGATAAAACAATTGTTTCGAGCCCCTAATGTGTGTGGTTCGAGTTGGATCAGTTAGGACATAGGGCGGGAAGACAAAGTCCACAAGTACTCGCCGAAGCCTGCGGGTACCAAACGATTTCCGTATCAAGCTACACTCGGACAAGCTAAGTCTGAACTTGGCCCAAACGTGAAAAATGGACAGTCCCAATGTTTAGACTAGTTGGGCTGGGCGGATCCACATCGGTGAGCAGGCTTATAATTTTCGGAGGGTCTCCTCTCAAGTCGTTTCATTCTGTTGTGTCTGTTGCTTCATGTCCTCGTGATGTCAACTATAGACCTCAAGCTTTCTCGATCCAACCGTATCTATCGCCCATCTGTATACTCCCTCTCCCTCTCTCTTTCTACACGCACCGTACACATCCTCAGATATTAACTGACGTCGTTTTGCACACTTTTCAGGAACCTCTTGAAGGCAAAATCGTCATCAAGTCTCCATCTACAATCTCGCACTATGGAATTCGCCTTACCGTCAATGGATCTGTTAACTTGCAGGTTAGTTTTCAATAACGAGAAAAGAAAAGGAAGTTTCAACTGATAATGATTCTTTTAGTTGTTAAAATTGTTTTGAGATCATCATTAGAATTTTGATTACTGTCTCGCACTTGAATTGGATTATTATTGTTAAGTTTTCACAGTTTAGATGCTCCTAATGTTTGCAGGTTCGAGGAGGATCTGCAGGAGTTATTGAGTCCCTGTATGGTGTCATAAAGCCCATCTCCATTGTGTAAGTTACTGTTTCAATTTTTTTTTTTTTTTGTTCAAAAACTTAATTTTTCAAGCATTTTTTTTAATCCTCCTATGCCATTTGATATTAGCTATTCTGCTTAGTAGAAATTTGTATGTACCAAAAGAGACTTAATTGTATATGATTTGAAGAAAATAGGAAAATAAAAATGATTGTAACCAAAAAAGTAGTGGCAAATTTGAATTTATAGTTGATTGTAGATTAAGCTGGGATAATTTTCTGTTCCATGTTTACACAACTGAATTTAAAGCCATGATTGCTAGTTCCACTTCAGCCTCTAGGCATAGGTTATAGATGGTAATTTATTTGAGTTTGATTAATAGTGATCCACATAATTATATTGATCTTTTCATTGTATGCACTTTGTGAGTGACAATAATAGTAATCAGTAGAGGGTGAATTATCACTGATTTTCAAAGTCAAGAACTTTATTTTCAAAAATCAGTGGAACAGTTCCCCTATTTTCTTGTTGCTCAACTAAATAGTCATTCTGTTAAAATTTTGTTGATCTTTAGTTGGTGAGTGTTAGAATCGTAGTTTTAAGACAAGGTATGGGACTTGACTTGGATTCCACATTAGAAGTATGAGATTTTAGAGTGAGGTTTACATGAACTTGAGCTCTCCAACCTCAACAGCTAGCTTTTAAGGTGTGGTTCTCTGAGGGTTGTAACAATTCGTCAGAGCCCACCACCTCCCAATTGCACTCGAATAACGCGGGTGATGATGCCAGAATTGCAGTGTTCACTTGCGGCTAGTTAAAAAAAAAAAAAGCGCAAAGCCATCCTAGCACAAAGCGGACCGTCATGGACATTGGAACTCCAGAGGATGTTAGGATAGTAATTACAGGACAAGGTTTGGGACTTGTCTTGGATCCACATTGGAAGTACGAGATTTCAATGTGAAGATTATATGAACTTGGGCTCTCCGACCTCAATGGCTAGCTTTTGAGGTGTGGTTCTCCAAGGTCATAACAGTAAGTAAAGAAAGATAAAAGAAAATACTTCTTATTCTGATTTTACCTTTTAGGGAAAGAAACAAAATTTTATTATCAACTTTTATCTGATAATTTAATCTAAACATATAAGTTTGTTACTATTTTGAATGATTTTCTATTTGTAAATTAGGATTGATGATGTTTTTCAATAAAGGAAAAACTCAAGATTTGATTTGATGATATGCAAAAGAAAATTTGAAGTTTTGTTAAAGTTAAAATTGGCATTCATCCTAATTTAATAGAAAAATTAGAAGGACTATTTAGTTGAATGATAACAAAATAGAGGGACTGTTTAATGGATTTTTGAAAATAGAGATCTTGACTTGTGAATTTCATTTTTTTTTTTAATTTTTTTATTTATCTATATGCATATAATGAAGGCTAAACACATAAATTAAAATCTAAAATTCACAAGAAAGGTTTATTGGTGCATTCAATTTTTATTTTAACCTACTAAACATTTTATTTTGCAAAATTACATTTGTTAACCATTTCAACTTATGAAATTTGACTTGTCAAATAGCACCTATTGAATACTTATATAGTATTTGAAAAATGTAAAAACAGTTATTCCATAAAGTTTTGCACTTATTTAATAACTGCTAGGTAATTGAAAAATGTCTAGGTTTATTTTTGTTCGGCGAGATTTCACATGTGAGTTGTTCAGCGGGTATCATTTTGCAAATTGACTATTCAATGGTTCAAACTACAATCTAAGAATTCTAAAATTCAAGTGTCAATTTATGCATTTAGCTTATAATTGAATTCAAAATGTTGTGGCATTATGAGTAATGTCATATTTGCCACTCACCTTATCAAATTTTGTAAATACTTGAATTTGTTGAGCCATGTTTTTTTCAGTTGTTTTATGGATGTGATATTGTTAATAATCTTTTAATCCATTGAGTGTCAGAAGGAAAAAAATTTTTGCCTAGAGATTTCCATATTTACAAATTATACACAAGTAGCTTTGCTTGTGGAAGACAAAAAATGAAAAAGTAAAATTGAGAACCAAACAACTCTTAGACGAAGATAGGAGTTGCCTTGAACTTTTTGTTTGAGAAATGGGAACCTTTTCTTGAATTTTTTTCTTTCGCGATTGCGAAACATACTGTGATAGTAATGCATAGGTGCCATGATTTATTTGGATTTCCTTAGCCAGTTTTTGGCTGACACGCGTAATTCTTGCCAGTGAATTGTTTTTCTCACTTGTTAACAGGAATAAGAGCATTGAGATCAGATCATCAGGAAAGGTTGGTTCAGGTACAACAGAGGTAGATATGATAATGAGTAAACTACATTTGAATTATGTCATTAATTTTGAGTCAATTGTTTTTCTACTTTCATGTTTAAAGTCTCTGTCTCTTTGTCTCTTTCTTGCTAGTTATTAGGTAGTCATAGATGAAAATATTTCTTCATATCTGATATAGTCTGATATAGCTTCGATGTTTTTTCTAACTGATTATTATTTTCTTTGCAATTTTGTGAATGGTTGCTTCTTATGGCAGATACCATTTTCTGCAATTTTCAAACAACCTGGAGAAGAAAATTTAGAAAGGTTTTATGAGACCTTCCATGGAACAAATATTAGCATCCAGGTGAATATTGACTTATGAAAGTGCTAATGTTTATTGGTGGATCTTTTCATTCTGTCTCTTCTTGATCTCTGTTCTATATGTTTCCACCATCCAATAGCTTCTATTTTCTCTTACATATTTTTGAAAATTGATGATTAATGAACCTTGTCGTAGTATCTGGTAACTGTAGATATAATGAGAGGGTACCTGCATAAGTCATTATCTAAAACTGTGGAATTCATAGTTGAAAGTGATAAAGGTGAGGTTCTTATATTATATAAATTACTTCTCACTGTTATTAGTCACTAATAATTGAACTGAGGAAGCTTCTGTCTCTGTTGCTCTTATATTTTCAGCTGATCTTCTTGCACAACCTGTTTCTCCTGAAACAGCTATCTTTTATATCACTCAGGACACTCAAAAACATCCGCTGCTTCCTGAATTGAAGTCAGGTCTGCTTATCTCTCTTCATATGCTTCTTTTTTACAGTCTGTAATATAAATTTATGAGCAATAAATTTCTGCTTGAGAAGTTTGGTACCTATATGTTTCACATATAACAAAAGGATATGGAGTTCCAGCTGCTTGCATCCACTAGCCTATATATGGAGCATCATATTGTTCTGAAGACCTGTTAATTGTAAATGGTTGTCGTTGAATAGGTGGTTTTCGTGTGACTGGGAGGATATCTACTCAGTGTTCCTTGTTGGATCCTATCAGTGGAGAGCTAACAGTAGAAAGATCTGCAGTTCCCATTTCCTCCATTGATATTCACTTGCTTCGGGTGGAGTCAATTCTTTATGGAGAGAAAATTGTGACTGAAACCTCTTTGATTCAGACAACACAGGTATGCCACATTTCACATCTTCTCAATTATTTAACTCATCTAACGTTCATTCTTATTTTTTCCCTTTATACCATACAGATAGCAGATGGAGATGTCTCCCATAATATGACTTTGCCCATTTACGTTATCATTCCCCGTCTTTTGACTTGTCCAACTGTCTTGGCTGGGTAAGCCCATGAGTCTTTGTCTTGATCTGGTTATGAAACCTGAATGCATTAAGGTGAATGGCAGAAGTAGACAGAATTAAGAGTGTATTCGGATAGTAATTTAGGAAGGAAAGAAAATATTGAAGGAAAATAAAGGTGAAAATATAAATTTTTCCTCCTGAATGTTTGGATATTTGACAGAAAAATAAGGAGGGAAAATGATTTTATGAATAGTAAAATTATGAGTTTAACTCTTACTTTTTTTTTCCAAAAAAGTATAATAAATAGGGGTAAAATTGTAATTTTTTAATTATTTTTTCTAATTTTCCTCCTAAATTGGAGAGAAAATGACATTGTCGGTCCCCTAATTTATTTTCTCTTCATATTTTTATTTCCCCTTTACACCCTTTTCTTTTTTTTAAATAACTCAATTACTACTCAAAATTATGTTCTCAATTTTAGAACTTGTTATTAAGTTAATATCAAAATAAGCTCTTTTTAGATCAATTACTGTATTATTGTATTACTTGAAAAACCATTATTGTTTCTTCTCTGTATTTTCCATTGCAGTCCATTTTCAATTGAGTTCAAGGTGTCCATTGTTATTAGCTTTCAGTCAGAACTGTCCAAATTGCATAAAAAATCTGATCCCCGAAATCCAAGACTCTGGGTAAGCATCATTTCTAAACTTCAGTATAGAGGTAGCTTTTTTTTTTTTTTCTTTTTCCAATCTGAAGCTTTTATTTTGTTGTCCTTCAATTTTCAGCTGGCAATGGAAACTTTACCCCTTGAACTTGTCCGAACAAGGTGAGGACGTCTATTTTGAAGGCGATAATTTGTAATTTGTGCACTTGTGTATATGACAATAATTGAATTTTGTGTGTTACTTGTGTTGATATGTCACATGCATGGTTTTTGACGTTATCTATTAGAAGTAAACTTTACCATGAATATGTAAACCTTCTTGATGCTAGGCATATAGAAAAGGGGCCGAATACATAAATTGCCTCTTGAATTTGCGCAAAAAAAATCTGATGGCTCCTTCTACTTTCAAATGACTTTGTGGCTATTTGAATTTTACTTTGTAATATATGCACACTTGGACTGATTAAAAAACATGGAGTAAATTACACGTGCAGTGACGTGGATTAATAGACAATATAGATGTCAATTATCTTGGAATGTTGAATGCCATCTCACTTCAGTGGGTTTAGCTTTTCTCTCTCTAACCAAAATGATTGACAACTGTAACTTTGTCAAGAAGTCCTTATCCATAAAACCATTTAAAGAACCACACTTTTTTTATCAAGAAGTTAATTACTGCAACAACAAAAACCTATCATCAAAACCACCATTATCCTCAAAACCATTTAAAGCACCACCGTTAAAGCTACCACCATGACCTCTTGATTTATGTTAAAGCTTCATCTCGAGTGCCCAATTTTGTGTCTCGATTTTGTAGCACAAATGCTTAACTTTCTTGCTTCGAGAGTTTGGAAACAAAGGAGATTCTTCTAAAGCGATTTGATGTTTTCAGTTTGCAGTTAGAAGAGAAAATAGGAAGAACAAGCAAGGAAAACTAGTTAGCGCTATGATATCTACCCTCGCCAAATTAGGTAAAGTAGAGCTTGCATAGATCGTGTTTGAGACCCCTGTTAGTGAGGATTATGGAGACACTGTTTATGCCTATTCTGCTTTATTTAGTGCTTATTGGAGGAATTATTATTGCAACGAGGCCATTAAGATTTTTAAATTTTTCACAAAAAATAACTCCATTATTCTTAATTATGGATGTAATTGACTTAACTAACCTAACCTCCTTAATTATGGCAAATAAAGTGTCACGTATGATGCTATGAAATTACCTAACTCGCTTCATTGTGCATATATTTCAGTTTTTCTTTTTAGTGCAAGTTAGGGGGCAATTTATGCATTCGGCCTTATTCTATTTTAGTAATTTTATTGTGGAAGAATAAAGAAATCTAAAAAAACATTGAATCCATTCTATTTATGGATGAATATATAATTTTAATATTCCTATTGCAATATTATGTCAAAAAAAGTTCATACAGGCTGCTTAACATATAATTATTATAAAAGCTATCCTATGTATCTCATAATTATTTGGCTTAATCATTAATTTCATTTTGAATTTTTTAAGTAGTTGCAATTTCATCATAAATCGATTTTTGTATTCATTAAACTTTATAATTTTTTTAATCACATAATAATAAATCAGACAATAATAAATAAAATTATATTCCTATGTTATCTAAATATTAAGAGTCATAACAATCTTTACCCATGGTGTCATACCACGGTGACCCTAAGAACAAAGTTAGGCTATTGAAGAAAAGAATAGCATGTTGAATGGGATTTGGACCAAGAATATGAAATGGGAGATCCGGCGTAATGCTCTCTGCTATCCTGGGATCGGTATGCGAGACCGGACCGTAGTGAGCTAGGATGTGGGCATCACGTTCCATCAAGAGAGGCTAGACACTATAGGGCCGGAGGCCTATAGTGCGCATCTCTCCTCAAGTGAAGGTTTCGGTATAGGCAGTTCTGTGCTGCCCAGGATGTCCTAAAGCCTTGAGCTCATATTCGCTTGTACGAGACATTTATATATATATTACAAGATGAGTTATGCAGTCGGATATTATGCAAAGACTCTCGAAATATGCATGGCTGACTTAGATTATGATCTGAGTCTAGGCGCCACACGGGTGCCAAAGGCTATGATGTTCTAGCACCGTGGCATTAATAAACTAAGTACATAAGAATTCCTAAAATCCTCCGGCAAACTAAAAAAGTTACACGGCTCTATGGTATCAAGCGCAATCTTCCTTCTTACCTTAAAGATATCCTGTTGAGATAAGCCCTTGATCTTCATCAATTCAGCTTTAGCAGCCATTCTTCTTTATACCCCTTCAAACTTATGCTTAAAATAGTTAGCCCGATATGTTCTCCAGCAACAACCATTAAGTTATCTAATTTATCCATTTGACTAGAAAATTCTTGAATAATTTCCATGATGTCTATCTTTCTTCTTTTATTTCTAGTGTTTGATGGTGCAACATGTGTTGTTTGAGTGGAATGAGAAAATGTATGTAAAGGTGTAACACTTGTTTCTTCTTGCTCATTACCTACCTCGCCATTAAAAATTGGTGGGGGACATGATTTATAATGACTTTGTTGTTCTTGCACCTTCTTCAGTAGCTCTGTCTTTTTCATAAACATAATCTAATTCATTATAAAAAGGAAATGGTTTGTTCCTCAATTCTACTGCATCTCGATGACTTTGCACAAAATTAATTTTTTTTAGTGATTGGTATACTCATACGAGTCAAATGCGCCTTCAAATAACAATAGTATCCTAATCTAATTATCCCAAACTTCATCGTCAAAGTGATGCAATTATTTCTTTCATTCCATCCAAATTCACTATATCTTAGACCTCTCATTTCAGCAATTGCATGATACTTTAATCTCACGCCCTTGAGTAAATATGTGGATAAGCTTTTATTTGACAATTAGGAATCTTGTCCTTCATCATCTTCTGTATCTGAAGCTGGTAGCCAGAATTAAAGTGACCATTATCTTGTTTCCATCCACCAAACATGATTTCAGCATTTGTCCATCTAACACAAGACCTTCCAAAACTTGTCATTATGTGGCATTTTCTCTATTGTTGATATTATTCATCTTTAAAATAATCACACACACACACATATATATAATAACATCATGAATGCATAATAAAATATGCTAATCATGTAATTTGATCATAAATATAAATAAAAAAATAAACATTTATATCAAAACCACATTCAATTAAACAACAAACTATAATTAAGAAATTGTCTGCAAGGTAACAAGTCGAACATAAAAAATATAAAAAGCAATCATATTATTACAAATAAATAATTCAAACAAACACTCCAGCTCTTGTTGATACAAGTTTGTAAGTTATTGTATATTTATTCCTATTTTCCCTCTATTTTTGAAAAATTTCATTAGCTAAATTGAATCTAAAATTATGCTACTCTGAAAAACTCTCTAGATGGTCAATTGGCTATCCACCATAAACATCTTGTGGTCCTTGTTCCATTTTTTCACACTAATTTATCTCACTGTCCATTGGATCCAATTGCATGTTAATTCTAATAAAATCGTGTAATAAAGTAAATGCTGAGATGATCTTACAAACTGTCTTTACAAGATACTAAGGTGTGCATCTTAAAATACCCCACCAAAGCTTCAATAGGGCAAAACACCTTTCTATGATATTTCTTCCTTGCGAATGTTTCATGTTGCAGCATTCTTTTCCGGTTCTTGGTTCATTACCAGTCTTCCAATCATTTAAATGATACTTTTAACCTCTATAAGAGGTTAGGAAGTCATTTGAATTCATGTAACCAACATCATATAAATAATAATATCTATAATATGAAATAAGCAGTCTATTATTACTAAATATGAATTACATGATTTATAATATAAAAAACTTAAGCTGTATATTAGTTGAAAGTGCATCTCGAAGTATTCTATTATCATATGTAAACCCTCCCATCCAGGTAATATATATAAATTGTAAATTTTGTGAAAAAACTCCTTACACATTAGTTGAAAGATCTCATTTATTTTTGTATCTAACTTTATCTTCCTCTGCTCCACGAACTTTAATAGGTGTTCCATCTAATGCATTCAAATAAGATGTGTATATTTGTTAGAATTATATTTCATATTTAAAAAAAGAAAACATACAAAGTTTTAACATAGATAAATGAAATCTACCTTGAACCATTTCCGTTTGTCACCGTAGTTATTTTCATCGATTGGTTCTGGCTTTTTAGAAGAAGATGATGACATTTACGTACAACATGAAGACTGAATTAAAATGCCTAGATATGGTCTCTCCACTCCTAAAATATAATTGAGTTCTTCTAGTTTTAGTATGATGTGAAACTATGTGTGAATACATAGCTACCATTTCTTCCACACTCATATTCTTATTTCCTTGTAGCTTGCGAACTTCTTTTAGCGTCTCAGACATTTTATAAAAACACATCTAGTTCATTCTTAAATTTTCAATGCAAACTTCATCATGATTATGAAAAAGTGTCATAAGTCTAACTTCCAATCTTTGTTGAGCAGAATCATTAAATTTATGAGAAATATTTCTAGGAACTCTAACTTGTAACATAGCAATTGCATCCATAAACATAGCCATAGCCATCATTGTCATAAGCATTATCATCGTTTCCGTATAAATTACTTTACAAGAAGCAATCATCTTGCTTTTTTCGTTCAATGAAAGTTTTGCCATTACCGTAAAATATACATGAATTAAACACATTTTAAATATAACAATAAATTTATTTAATAAAAAAATTTATTTAATAAATTTGTAATATAAAGATAAAAAACGATACAACTAATTTTACATTGAAATATATTTCTATATTTCATCAACAAGCACATAGTTTCTCATAATTACATTTTATGGAAGAAACAGTCACAGAGTGGAATCATCAAGCATCACAGAAACTCCATGCAAACTGACTATATATATATTCCTGAAATGAGAACAGCTGGCACACCACAAATTCATGATATTATGGTAAGGCTTTAGCATAATTTTTCTGTGTTCGAATTTTTTGTTATCAAATTAATATTTTGATAGGGATTAAGCAGAACAATATAATTTAAATTGCATACTTCTAATTAAAAAGCAAAGACAAAATTATAGTTATTGCTTCAGTCTTGGGATGGCATCCCTCTTCAATATTGAGTTTCTACTGTATAAGACTTTCAATTTCTATATATATAATTATTCCTTTATAATTTTTATCATCTTTGAAATGCAGTATGGTAAATCAAGAGCAAGACATTTGGTAATCAGAGATTGTAGAAACTAAAAGGAAAACGAAAAATATTTTGTTTTGAGAATCTTTTATTTATCTTATTACATAGTATTACTATATCAGACATAATAAATATTTTAATCAAAATTTAGTATGAAAAATAATAATGTCGTGGTGAAAAGAATATATAAAGATGAGTTTTGATTAGTTTTCTTTTTTAGTTTGTTAGAATTTTCATATTAGAATATATAATTATTAAATATCATCACTGAATTAGAAAAATAAAATAAATATCATATTTAGTTTTGATTAATTACTAAATATCATTATTTTTAATTAGAAGAATAAAATAAATGATTTTTCAACCAATTAATTATTTTTCCATTTTTTTTTTAAATTATTTTTTTTTTTAGAAGATAAATTGGTAAGTTCTTTCAATATACACCTAAACAAAATGTAAACATAATCGATTTATTATTGCCAAGCCTGATAGTGTGTGCTTCTAGTTGAGCGGAGCATCCCATCTTTTAGGGTTGGATAGAATCATTATTCATTTGAATCTGAAAAGCACATGTAATAAATATTGTGATTTTGATTGTTCAAATTTAATCCTTACAAATCTCAGGGCTGTTGACTCGGCCATTGAGAATTTGAGCTCATTCATCTGTCAAAACCAGCACATATCTCCAGTAATATATTGGTAATTTCATCTTTATCATAATCTAAAATCAGATTATTAGCCAATATGGGTAAAAACTACATTGATGAAAATGGCCTCCCAACATCATATACAAGTCACATAATTTATTATTATTAGAGGAATTATTAGATCACCATCATAATTTCATAAATACTCATTTGTAATTCTGGAAAGCCAGAATTTAACCCTCTCATTCTCACTGCTACTGCTAAAAAAACTACCATCTCACTCAACCGAAAACTCGAACAACATAGAATTCCTGTATGTCTCACCAGGTTGAATGACTACTGACGGGAAGTTTGGTTGGTTTATGGCATTAGGAAATCCCTGCGTCTCCAAACACAGCCCAGAATGCTTTCCATAAACAGCACCTCCTTTACCATGAACTCCATTCACATAGTTTGCAGTGTAAAACTGCATCCCAGGAGCATTGGTCCACAAGTTAAGGACCCTCAAGCTTGATGGATCTTTTACTTTCCCAGCATGTTTTAAACCATTTTTCTCTTCCCCGCAGTCGAGCACGTAGTTGTGATCATACCCTAAACCTACTTCATCGATTGAAGCACCAATCTTCTTCTCAGAGGTGAAATCAAAAGGGGTGCCTTTAACTGGCATTATTTCACCAGTAGGTACAATATTCTCATCAACAGGTGTAATATGAGATCCCCATATTTGAATTGAATGGTCAAGTATACTTCCTGAGTTGTGGCCAGCTAAGTTCCAGTAAGTATGCTGGGCTAAGCTGACTGGAGTGGCTTTGTCCTTTGGCACCGCTTCCATGTCAAGCCTCATTGTTGTGCTTGAAGTAAGTGCGTATGTTGCAGTTACAGAAAGATCCCCAGGATAACCTATTACCAGGAGAAACAGAAAAAATCAGAGAGAGAGAGAGAGAGAGAGAGAGTGAGAGAGGGTGAGTGATGGGGCTTACCTTCCTCTCCATCATGACTCTCGTACTTGAAGGTAATTGATGGATTTTCGCCCTTCTTATGTTCTGTTACCTCCCATATCATCTTATCAAACCCCTTCAGCCCACCTAAACATTAGAACAACAGTATCAACATTTACATTCAAGAACAATACTAAAATTGGCATTTAACCTAGAATATCAGTCAAAGTGGAATTATCTGTCATTATTTAAAGAGTGGAACAGTACTATAATCATGGAAAGAGAAATTGAATCATACACTGTAAATTGTATTACACAAAAATGAAAAATGAAATGCCCTTCTTGTTGATGAAACAAGCACAAATGGATCTTTCTAATGCTTCACTTATTATGAGTTGCAGAGTTCTAGAGAATTAATTGTCAGATAATGGCTAAAGAACACAATGTCACATTGCTTTCCCAGGATCAGTTACTAAACAGCAATTTGGTAGACAGAAAATATTATATCTCATATGTTATGCTTGGGGAGGTGGTTATTTGAACGTCCCTCCCCATCAATACACCCTACACCTAAACTCATAAGAACATTTGAGCGCATTTGGATTGCTTTTTCCCCACAAGATGGTTATTTTTCAATAGAAAATTGAAACTTTTAACCAGCTTAAAAGAATAATGAATAAAGAGAAAAATTTTGGACACATGAATATTACAGTCCCATCATAACCATTCACCATTGCTATTTCCACAATTGCTCACACCATGTCAAGCGCCATAGTTAAACAAACACTACCCTGACCAAGCTACCTTATAACAATTGACACCATTAAACATTTCTAATCTCCAGTGAAATTTGCTTATAGATACAACAAGACTATAAAATGTTTTCTAACTTTGACTAAAAGGAATTGTCTCTATAAAAGTTTGAAGTTGTCCTTTCTTTTTCATCTCAAATTTTACCACTGTATGTCATGAATCAAGGTGTCAACTAACAAAAATGTTAGCCATCTACACTTAAAGCCATCTTCAACATAAAAACTAAAAGACTAAACAATTAAAGCCATCTACACTTATTCCATTATCGTTCCACAGTATTGAACTGTAGACAAATATAATTAAAAGAATAGAAGAATTTGATGATAAATACCATGAAGACTGTTTGGAGGCCTGTTAATGGGCAAAGTGTATTCAACCCCATTCAAACTAAACTTCCCATCTTTGATTCTATTTGCTACTCGCCCCACAATGGCTCCAAAATAAGGGGCAACACCTTTCTGTTCACACATACATATAATCAAAAAAGCATTTAGAGGAAACAAAATGGTTAATAATAAAAAGAACAAACCTGTCATAAAATAGCTACACTTCCATCAGATTGCTAATGCAAGAAACCAGTTAATTCATCTAGAAAACACCTAAATGGAAATCCCACTAACATTGCGTTACTTTTAGTTAATTAGTATTGTGATCCAAAACTAATATTTATTTAATATTTTAAGTGGTGATTAATATTGTAAATGGCACCATGGCTTCTTTTTTCCCCCTAAATCTAATCAATTCAATCAATTGCTTTACAATATAACAAAAGATGAAGCAAATATAATTACCAGATATGGCTCAACAGAGTCGAATCCAAGAACAACATCAGCTAAATTCCCTTCAAGATGAAAAAAATCAATGAATGATTGATGTCAAAGAAATAAAATTTATAATGATTTGAGAAAAGAAAAAACAAATAAATAAGAAGGGAAGCATGAGCTACCATTTTTATCCGGTACAGACAAAGAAGTAATGGTGCAACCCAAATTGGTAATTTTGACGACCATGGTGCCATTGTTGAGCTCAAAGATTTCTGGTTTCTGGGTATGATCTGCCATAGCTTAAGAAGCACTGAAACAAAGAGTGAGGTGGTGAGTTCCTTTTACAAAGAGAGAAACTGTGATTTCGTCTTTGGCGGATTGTTTTGTTGTTGTTATTGCCTTTTTATTTTGTTGGCAACGACAATCGCATTTTCTGTTGACGTCCTTATCCATTCTCAACGTATTGTCGTACGTGGCTCTGACCGTGACAACTGATGGCATGCGAGGCTCCAATAAATTATTGGGATATTCCATGAGATTTGGCATTGTATTTCTTTTTCCTTTTACTTTTTTTTTATATAATTTGATTGATCGAAAAAAATTTTCTATTTTATTTTTTCCTTTACTTTTTATATTTTAGTTAAACCAAAAAGCTTTTAAAAATTTATTGTTAATAAATATGTAAATAGTTAGCACTTTTATATTTTGACTTTTTTTTATCCTTTATATATATATATAACATAAAGTTAATCTCATTTTTATTGTGGAGATTTTTAATAAAAATAATGGTCCTGTAAAAACTATTTATAAATCTAAGTGCAATACAAAAATTAATTGTATTGACAAGTAACAGATGAATGAATAATAACTTTTATTTTATATTGAAATCACTAAATGAATTAGTGCTTTCCATATAAAATAAAAATTTAAATTATCAAATGCCATTTTTATAAAGGCACACAATTCATTTAATATTTTTAATGTAAATATAAAATGTGACAACTAATCAGCGAGAGAACAATGTTCTATTAATTATATTACTCTGAAATATTTTTTCTTCAGAACAGAGACATCATCAGGTGAAACAAACATATATTTGTGGACCCAACTCATAATTTAGAAGTTAGATTAAATGTATTCATTTTTACAGTTGGAGCACGCCCTGAATTTCAATTCAAATTGTCAGTCAAACAACGGCTTTTACAAAAATTTGTGTGAAAAATTGAGATCTGAAATCTAAATTTCAGAATTTTATTAAATAGTTGATAACATCATTATTATAGAAGATCAAACTTATAATATACAAATCCAATCTCCTATTGTGTAAAGCTTTGGTGAAATAATAAAGGATAGGCTACAATGGTTCAAGCATTGGGTTATTGAAATGGAGAAACGGGTGACCTTACTTCGTCCCCAAGAAATGAAGCTGAGAGGAAGAAATGTTCAAAAGGAGAAAACGTACAAACCATACACTTGCGTCCCAAGCAACATACCAAACACTTGGGTCCCAAGCAACATACCAACTATCTTAATTGTTTGGTTCTATATACATATATGTGCTTATTGAACCATAAGTACATATCTAATCCAACTATTTATTCATTGTTTCCCTTTTGCACATTTTTTTTTTTCTTAGAGAAAATCTTTCCTTTAGCCTTTGAACATACAACAGATAATCAGAATGGTATCACTGAGGTTGCAGAAAAGGCTAGCTGCCAGTATACTCAAATGTGGTGAGAAAAAATTGTGGCTTGATCCCAATGAGACCTTTGAAATCTCAATGGCCAATTCTAGTATGTCTTTACTCTTCTAGCTCTGTTTCTCATGTATATTATGTTATTTTCTTTCTTTTCTTTTTTTGTATGCTTTCATTTTCTTTTATTTTTTGGTTGGGGAAAAAGAAATCAAGAAATAGGTTTCAAATGTATGATAATAAAATTATATATTTAAAGTGAATTCCAATGCAACAGAAAAAATCATTTAGATTACAAATAAAATGAATTGTATATTAAGCACTACCCAAGTATATTTAAAGCTAATTTCGAATTGCTATTGCTAATAGCTGACTTGAATAAAAATAACTGCAGGGATGAACATAAGAAAAGCAATAAAGGATGGTTTGATAATAAGAAAACCAGAAATAACCCATTCAAGATGGCGGTGTAAGAAAGTGAAGGAAGCGAAAATGAAAGGAAGACGGTCAGGCTATGGGAGGAGGAAAGGGACGAGAGAGGCAAGGCTGCCTTCAAAGCATGTGTGGATGAAGAAGATGAGAGTCTTGAGACATTTGCTTCGTAAATATAGACAACTTGGAAAAATTGATAGACATGTATACCATCAAATGTACTCAAGTGTCAAAGGAAATGTTTTCAAGAACAAACGCGTGCTGATGGAGAGCATTCACAAGTTGAAGGCAGAGAAAGCTAGAGGCAATACAGCACTTTTGGATCAATTTGAGGCAAGGAAAGCTAACAAGTGATTTATGTTATTATGGAGGAAGTAGATTCATTAGTTATTAAATAAACAAATAAATAAATAAATCTAAAGCTGCTATCGATCTGGTTCAATCTAAAGCCGAACCAAAAGCAGCTTAGAATTTCCAGTTTGATATGATAACAAACAGTTTGGAACCGTTTGGCCATTCAGTTGATCTGTTCTGGTGCAAAAAGAAAAAAACCAAAAATTAAAAAGAAAAAGGGAAAGGGGAAAACGGTACATCCAAATTCGCCAGAATCAGTGGTTGAATATCCGATGCTGGAACTGAGAGACCCAAAATCAACACAAAACCAGAACCACTGGTTAGATCTTGGTTCCAAGCATCACTGGCCCAGAACCATTGGTTCGGTGAACTAGCCATCACTACTTGGTACCTAGTATTTTGTTGTTGTGTCAGAAATGTATGTTTTACGTTTACCTCTATTTGTATTTTTATTTTTTTCATTAGTATATAATCATATTAATTATGTAAACTGCCAATTTAAAAAAAAAAAAAAAATTCAACCTATTATGAAGAAGCAGTCTTGCAGATTGTGTTCCACTATAGCAGAAAATCTTTCTCAAGCAACATCTCTCTACATCTTTCTATCAGCCAAAATTAAATTTATAATATGATCTAAGGCTCCATTTGATGAGAATTATAATAAAATGTAATGTAATATAAATTTCTAATAAAATGCAATTTAATCAAATAAAAATTTCTGTAGAGCCTGTGCCCTATTTATCTACTAATTTTCCTGATAGCAGATTGACAATTACCAGCAGAAGGGCGCAATCAACAGATATGAAAACAAATATAACAAAAGAATAATAATTTTTTTAATAAGTATTGTCGATGATTCAGATAAATATTGAGTGTTCTATGAACTAATAAATGTAGTGTTTGCAATTATTTCCATGCTAAGACCCTTTTTTAATATCAGAAATAGGAAGAAAAATAAATCATGCTTTACCAGCTGAACCAAACAAATGCATCTTTTCTGCAATCACAGCTTTCATGGCTTCTTTGGCAGAATCCATAACATGAACCAAATCTTTCTTTGGGATGCTCAGTGAGTCCATATAAGCTTTGCGCACCTCAGTGTTCACATTGAACTTCCTCACTCCCCGCTTGATACAAGCCTACCCAAGATGTTCATTTAAGATAGATCGTCAATGTTTCTTCATCAAGTTCATTCACTAGCCAATTTATACTTTTAAGCTGGCAACCAAAATCGGCACTATTTTCATCCCAACACCGCCTAATGTGTCTACATAATATTAGTGCACATTATCTTTATATAAATAAGCAATGTTGTTATAAATACAATAATGATACTTCAGGTAAGAATTTGAAGTTGATAAAAAGTGTTGGGATAAGTAGCATTTTCCATTCCACAAAATTTCAAAGATATTGATGCCTTAAATATACAATACATTCATACAAGTACGAAAAAAAACATACCTTGACAAGTTCCTTGGGCAACCCTGAAGCTCCATGCAGCACTAGAATAACGCCTTTCTTTGAACTCAACTGATACAAATCCTAAAAATATAGCAACAATACTTGATCAATCAAATTTTCTTTATGGAAGTTGTGGTGTTAATAAATTCTTGAACCAGATACTTCAATTAGGAATCAAGTTATCAACATGAGATGATGATACAAGACTAAAATCTAAGCATCAATCATATCACTGTTCCTTTACCAATGGTACACAGTGTGCTTGTTTTTACTGAGCATCAATTGAGCATAAGAGAATGCCAAATACAAGTCAAATACAAACACATTTTATTGCAGCATGGCGTCCTGAATATACTATCAGATTCTGTGATTGACAAGGTGAAATCTAATGCACAAAGCTCATAAATAGTACCCGAATCTTAATATATAGGCAACTAGCTGAACTATGATACCTTAAGCAAATCGAGTTTAAGATTTGGGCCACTGGGAGGATACTTTCCATGTACATTACCAATACACACAGCCAAAGCATCTATACCGGTCTCATCAATGAACTCTTCAGCCTGAAATTCAAGTGAAGCCAATTATATCACTTAGCTGTGTACAAGGGCATGAATTCAGATGGTTATTCTCGTCAGTGGATTTAAAAGTGCAGTAACCTGATTAATATCAGTCAGCCTTGCTTCATACTCTTCAACAGTCCATTCGTCCTCTGTCCCTGACAACCTCCCTAGTTCTGCTTCTACCAACATATTTTTTGAGTGAGCCAAGGAGGTTATGTATTTTGTGAAATATATATTATCCTTGAAAAGAAGATGTGAACCATCTGCCATGACTGAATCGAATCCCTGCCATGTTAGATTTGAGAATTATCAAACAGTAACAAATTAATACTCTATTGAACCAGAGTATATATTACATTCAATCAGAGTGAACAATTGTACTTTCACTATATTCCATGAAGAATTCAGATTATAACTAACTACAAGGAACTAGACAGATTCTGCTTAGAATCAGCTATACTAATTCCTATAATCAAGATATTAATTTCTTAAAGTGGATGCCAGATCCACTGTTCACAGAAGAAGTGAATTTTCCTATTTTGACAATTCTTCCCCTATAATCAAATGCTTCCCGATATATTGCTCCCATAAACAGTTGTCAATTTTTATTTGTTTTCTCTATTCTTTCTATATATGTCCATATAATGAGTTAACAATCCAGCCCACAAATAATAATCCAACAAATTGAAGGCTGAAACTTACATGAACTGAGAGTAATACTACAAGCAATAGTCACATGACTAATTTCATTTATTATTTTTTGTTGGATTCCAACACTACAAGCAATAGCTCCTTTCAAACAAGAACATTGTGAATTTGATAAGTTCTCAATAAACATTTTATAATATTTTTTTTCATTCCAATTTTCAGAATTCTGCCAACTCCACAAAGTTTTTGTGAATTCATACAATTTTTTTGTCACCGTATATGCGCCTTTTGATGCATGTGGTTCAACAATAGGGTAGAGCTAGGACAGTTATTGTATGAGGTCTACCCAATGCTAGACTAGATAGTATCCATATATTCTCTCAACAACACAAATTCAAGGATTTTTTTAAAAATATTTATACATACTAAAATGTATCAGATTTATTATTCCAAAAACAATATTTTGAGAATTTTTCCCACAAAACCTCTTTTGATTTTTTCACTTCTTATAATGCTATAATAGATTCATAGTCTATTATCATATCAAAAGGTCATTTCCTGAATTATGAACTTAACTTGAATAAATGTTATATATGTTGTCTTGTATAGTTGATAGTTGTGAGTGTTAGTAGTCTATTCTTAAGTGTAAAGGGTAGTTTAGGTATTTCATATAGTCCTTATGTATAAATAGCATCGTAACTATGTCTTACAAGAGATTGAATGAAAGATTTTCACTTTTCACACATATGCAAGAATATATATTTATATATTGACTCAGAACCAAAAAAAAAAAAAAAAAATATGAAAGATTATTCACTTTTCACACATATGCAGAATTATAATTTATTATATGGACTCAGAACAAAAAAAAAAAAAAAAAAAAAAAAATGTAATAGCAAAACCACAACGAAGTGCGGATATAATTTAGCTTGTATTACATTAACAGAGATAAAAGAGTAAAGAGTTACCAATTATATAATCATTTCTTTTGTTGGAAACCAAGATGCACACTTACCATGTCAAGAGCTCCCACCAGTTCTTGCTTCGAAGCTCCATGATCAAAGTGAACAGTAATGGGAACCTGCCATGCATGTTTACACATGATACTGTCTTATATGTATGTATAACACAAAACCAACACATCAACTCAAGTAAACTTTACAACCAGAGCATGCTAAACACCATCATTCTGTTATAATCCTGGATAAGCAGGATCTACAAAAGAAAATCTGAAGTCTCTTACTCTTCTGCATGTATGCATTAATTGATTGCGTCCAAGATTTTTGCGTTTGCAATGTCTAGGTGGTAAGTTCCTAACACTATTTTAGTATTGTACTTAGAACTTGCCAAACTAGCTTCACCTATATCTCCTCATAACTGAGTCCTACAGTTTGCTTATAGCTGAAATGGCTTTAAACTACACAATCCATGTCACACGTACTATAAATTGAAATATGCAGGCTATGGACGACTAAACCCTAATTATGCTGTCTTAACTTTCTTTCTTCTTAAATCCTTTACATTTTTTCTGAAAGATATGAAGTGTCACTTACAGTGGCCTGTTCAGCAGCAGAGACACAAGCAGCAACCAAGGGAATTCCTCCTTGCTTCAAGGCACTAGGGTGTATCTGTGAAAAGAACATATAGCATTTATTAATTCACTGACAAGCACCTGAAAGTCATATCTGCATCCTCACATTATTAGGATCCTAAAACAATATGTCAATGCAAGTCTTGGGCACATTTAATAGCTCAAATAATTTTCACTCTTGTTCTAACCTGTATAATAGCAGGACTATTTTCTTCCTCTGCTGCAGCAACGACAGCTTCAGCTCCTTCCATATTATAAACGTTAAATGCTCCGATGGCATATCCACCATTCTCTGCATTCTTTTAACAGAAATAAATTATCATCTGAAGTAGCAAACTATTAAAACAACTAGGTTAATAGTCCTTACAAGCAAAAGATCTTTTGTTGATGAGAGTCTAGAAGGACGAGCCCAAGATTTCACTACTTGAGCCAATGCTTTACTGTCACCAACATTACCTGTAGAAAGAGCTATAGAAGTTAGACATCCAATTTTCCATTTTATGTAAATAAAGGAAGGTTCTAAAAATAATATAAGAATTCATTTACCTGGGAAAACAATGTAAGGAACTTTTGGATGCCTACTTTCAGGACCAAGCAACCACAAAGGAACACCAGCCAGAGCTTGTCCTACTACTTTGGCACATTTTGCTTCTAGAGCTTTTGTGGCAAGGTCTGACGAGGTGATTCCACCCTAAAACAACAGGACATATTAGTTGGTAGGCGTTAACTGACTTGGTGAAGTATCTCAATATTTTGACCAAGGGCTTGATATCAAATATTACCATTGAAGTTTGAGGCATTAAAAGTAGGAAAGGTTACCCCACAACACAGAAACAATTAGTTTTACGTTTATATCTTGTTTATTCATGGTGGCCAACAGAAAAAGAAATCTAACACATGTTGGGTGTTCTTTTCTAAAGCTAGAGATGCAGTTTGAATGGGCTTATAAACAAGAGAGGAAATTCGCAGCAAAGTAATGGATATTTATTTCAATGAAATCAGCATTTTCCAAAATTAAAAGGAAAAAGAGAGAAAAAAAAAGATGATCCAAAATAATGCTGAAGATAAATCTAGCACAAGCTGTGCAACTTGCATTGCACGTGTTACAAGAAAATTTTTCAATAAGAAGTTTCCAATATCTGCAAATGGGTTCCATTGGTACATCATATGGTTCAGAAATCTGAAGTTTTTATTCTATATATGAACATGCTATTGTTAGTATCTTCAAATACATTTCTTTCTCAATTTCAAGATTCTTGAGCACATTTGGGGTGGTAGAAAACTATATCAGATCATTTGTCTATGCAAACTTGTGCAAAGTGATGTGAACATAGTTGTTCATCTAAAATCCAATGACTCACTTTTGTCACATTAAACTAGATGATAAATAAGTTTCCTATGGCATTAAAGCTTGTGAATATTTGGAACATCTCTTCTGCTACCTATTGTTACTAAAATAGGAAAGGAATTAATGTGACTCACAAGTCATAAACTTGTGAGCCTATAATTCATGCAATTACATTTACATGGCTTTTTAAGACAGTGTTTCTGCTATAGTGACAAAGAGAGAAGGAAAATTATGGTACATTTTGAGTTTGTAAAAACTCTATTAACCATTTGAGTATCAATTGCCAATATAGAAGACAACTTTTTATGATTGATAAGAAGAATCTTTTTCATTCACAATCTGAAAAATAAATGGTTAAAACTATAAAACTAACATTTCCATTCTCAAGATCCATCAAGATCCATTGGCAGATTTGTTATGTAAATGGCTGTGATGCTTCCTCTGGAGATTGATTTCTGGTGGAAGGTTATCAAGTGCTATAGATTACAATAGAATTGATAGAATGCTATGGAAGAGTAATATTACTAGTTAAAGCCCCTGCAAACTCCCATCCTATATATTGTGTACTTTTTCTGCCTTTGTTAAATATGAAGTTGTGTTAGGTCCGGTATTTGTTTTTCTCATCCCATTCTTCGTCCTTAGAGTTTCTTGTTTGCAAAATACATGTCTCACAATTGTTTGCTTAAAGGAACAAGGATCCATCTTGGAGTTTTTTACTTCTTCATAAATGTGTTAATCATAGGGAAATGACATAGGTTCCTCTGTTGCTTGTTTAGTTGGATTTCTTTCGGCTGGTTTCTAGAGAAGATTGAAGGAAGTCTTTGATAAATCTTTCTATTCACAGTTTATATGTCCTTCCAAGACCATTCAATTTTGTTTGGGACAACGTCCCCCACCACCAAGGTAGAGGATGAATATGACAGTTCAATAGTCTGAAATGCATAAATGTGAAAAAGTATACTAATTACTCCATTGAAAATGAGAAAAATAAGAGAGAGAATTAAAGAACCAAAAGCTGGTCTGTCAAAAATTTGGTCATTTAAATAAATTTAAATACCTTTGCCAGAATGTACCGAGGTCTTGTTGATATCCGCCGCACAATTTCTACCAGTGCAGAGCTCACTTTAAAATTGATTTCCAAACTCTCAGAAGGAGCTACAGAAAGAAAATTAAATAAATAAGAGAAGGGATATTAGATGAAAGACGTTGGAGAATGATTTTTCTTCCTCCATTTTTTTTTTTGGCTCTCTGCCTCTTTTATTAATAGTAAAGACAATCAAGAGGTCTTCTGACCAAATGGTGCTCATAAGAATCTGGTATTCAGTTCAAACATTCACATAAAAGGAGGGCAGTAATTGTCATTTATATTAAACCATTGGTGAATCACCAACGATGCAAAAACTAAATAAAGAAAAGAAAATAGCACTAACATTTTCCAGTGATGAGTTCACGACTGGTCATTATTAACGTGTCCTTGCAAACTCCAAGGAAAATATCTGCCAATTCAGCTGCTCTATTAATTTCCTCATCCCTCTCTTCTAAAGACTTCATGGAAAGTTTATCAACAGAAACCTGTTCATAAAAAAAAAAAAAAAACTTGAACTTCTTACCTAAAAATAAATATGAACAGAACTCTGCTACGGAATTGAAGCATCTCAAATACAACAATGTTTGTCACATGTTTTTTAAAGGAAAGAGGGGAAAAAAATCTAAAATCAAGCCTATAGAAAGACATCATGCATCTGGATTACCTCAATGGTTCTTAAGACCTTGCCACATTGTATTTTAAGTTCTTCAACCTGTGAATTACAGACATAAGTATGAATCTGTGGTCCATGTCATCATCAGTGGGCTAAAATATAAACAAGGAAACCAGAGACCACTAATTGAACCTGTTTAGTAGTTTTTGGAACATAGGATCCCACAACTATGAGTCCACCACTTTTGTCTTTGTTTATTCCTAGATCTTTAGGCAGTATTGGAGCTTTGGGAATAATTCCAATTCGAGCAGAAACAAAGCTAGCAGCAGTGCGGCATAAGAAGGACTTGCCCTTCAATTCTGCCTGCTTAATAAACAAAACCTCATAAAAATTTCATTATCAAATTTAAACCGGAAATACAAAAAATTAACTTCACTAAAAAATCCAGAATTTTAGCAAATTTTGCCTGGATCATTCCAGCTGCAAATACAGCCATGTCTCTTTCACTCGCTGCATTGACTATACAAGTCGACCCCTGTTTCAGGCAAAAAACACAAAAGCCATGTCAATGAACAATTCATCCAGACCATAAACTCTTGGGGGCATTCCAGCCTACAGATTCAAAAAGACGGAATCATTTCTACTTAATTGATTTGGATTAAACCACTAATAACTATTTAATACATTATTGATTCAGAATAATCCACATGGAAAGCAGTTGAGACGTTGGGGATTTGTCTTTGCTGAAAGAGGAAAATTCAAAAGCAGATGAAAGAACAATGTTTTACTTTAGTTATCAAGCAAAAAAACAAAAAGATATCGGTTTTTGTTCCCAAAAATTTTTTAGGATATCCAGTTAATTAATCATTTGTACCTTCTGCAAGTTGCAAAGAAGCTCACAAACAGCATTTGGCCCGCCTTTCCTTAGAAGTTGGATAGATATAGACGTAACAGTATTAGCTGGGACACGACCTTGAGTTTTCTCCTCCACCCACTAAAAGTCCAGAGAGAGTTGCAAAATTACCATAAAAAACTAACTTCTTTTCAATGAGATAGCAATGAAAAAATGGTAGACCTCTCGCAGGTTGGAGGACTTGTAGCCAAAAGCAGCATCTTTTGCAAACTCTGTCTCTCCAGCAGGGACAAGCCTATAGATACAGTGGTTTGCATGTTAAACGCAACACACATCTAACCAAGATAATTATGATTGAAAAAAAGCAGAGGCGAATACCAATCAGAATCTGCAACATAGTGCACATCTTCAATAGTGTAACGGCCTCCTTGAAGAAAAAAGGGGCAAATGATCCATGCATCCATTTCACCAAGTACAGAAATAGCTGCATCTGCTTCCTACATAAATCATACATCCTCATGCCATGCTTTGGTAAAGAAATAACCTTACAAAAGTGGTGTATATAATTATGGTAACCACTAAGAAGCCTCTGTGCTTACCTCAGGAAAGTGACCTCTTAATGTGGAATCACCTCTCAAAACTACCGTATAGTCTACATTCTCAACAGATTTAGCAGCTTTACTTAGGTTTCTGCAGATATCTTTTATCAGTTCACTGGCCTGTAACAATTAATTGGTCTCATAAGTATAAGTTCTTTTACGCTCCAGCAAATATTGCGTTCTAAATAAGAAATACTCATTTTACTGAAAAGAACAAGCTTAAGGAATTCAATAATGTTCATAGCTGTAGAAAGCTATTTACCTTCTCGGAACTCAGTGACCTGGAGTTAGTCAAAATGAAAAAGCATACAGTTTTTTTCTTGAATTCCTTAACTAGTGACTCAACACTCCTGAAATGAACAAAATATAATTACTTTAATAATTTAAAAATATTAGAAGTTGAAAGGGTAAAGGTGAATTGGGTAAATGGTTAAAACCCATGAAATGAAAATGTATGATGTGGGCTAACTAATGCTAAAAAGTTAGTACTAACCAATTAGCTAGCTAGCTTAGGCCAAGCAATGCTAAAAGATTTAGTACTAACCAATTAACTAGTTAGCTTGCCACTCTTACATGCCCTTTGTGGATTTGATATTTAGATGTAGGATTCTTAACAAAAAATATTCAAAAGGGCTGTTTGCTCTATGTATGAAGGTAACAATGCTTCACAAGTTGGGGATTTAAGGACCAGATATGTAAGAATAATAATAACAAAAATATTATATATCACTTACATAATTAATATTACTTCTAGCGTCAATGTAGATAAGGCAGAAAATTAAGCAATATTTTAATGAAATTAAAAAAAAAAAAAAATAAAGCATTGTGTGAAGTGCAGGTTTACATGCTAGTATAAAATTACGCAAAAGCTTAGAAATACTTATTCATCACTATGTCAAAGTCTCAAATGCCTTTTTTCTTTTTGGTATATAAGAAAATAAAATGTAAATTAAGTAATTAATTATTATTAAATATCAATCAATAAATACATCAAGTTTTCTAATTTCTCAACCTACATTTTGTTTTATATCCTGAAAAATTTAAAGCTAAAGCTAAGCAATGAATTTCTTAACTTTTATTTACCAGTTGAGAATTAATAATTATAAAGATAAAGATAATAGTTAATATTGTTAATATGCATTGAAGTTTAAATTATTGTACTTTACCATTCAATCGTCTTTAAACTTAATATTGAATATTGTTAGTATGCATTGAAACTTAAATCATTGTACTTTACCATTTCATAGTTTTGGTAATTTATTTTTTCATAGTTATGTTTCTATGTTTAATCTCTTCTACTAATGAGTTTTGGCCTTGGTACTGTACTCTATGATGTGTCATTCAAACATAACATAAAAATTCTACATAAATCCTTCAACTCTTCAATATCTCATTTACCTTTCTATTTATCTCTTTGATGTCAAATTGCATTTTTGGATTCTCTCTCTCTCTCTCTCTCTCTTCATTCTCTTGAATGGTCAGAGCACAACCAATTGACTCAAATTTGAACTTATAAGCTCAACGTATACTCGACTTAAGTTAGAGGATGAAACATCAAATCTCTAAGGTCCTTCGCTCTGAGTTCAAGTGTGTCGTATATGAATCTAATCATTCCTTTACTTTTTCCATTTTTCTTTCCAGTTTTGAAACTTAATTGGGAGCATGACAATTTAAAAATTTTGAAATCTTTTATCTTGAAATATGTTGACACTGTGGAGATATTTCAATAAAATAAAATACTGTGAAAGCAGGTTTAATATTTAACCATAGAAAATCATGCTTTCAAAATTTAAATGTATCATAGTTAGATTATATTATATCATTTAAACACTCTATTTTGCAAAGCAGTTTTGTAGCATAGAGGAACAAACTTACCATTCTGTTAATACTTCAGTATCATGAACAGTTTGAGTTCCAGTTGGGTCGTCATCCAGAACCACCAATGTCTTTGAATTGCTCTTATTCAGTCGACATATATCATCAATGGGATCTAGGGGCCACTCAGGGGGAAGAGATCTCAGCACAGTTTCTTTCACAAGAAGAGGAAGTTTTCCTTCAACTTTAACACCCGTGAGAGTCTCATAAAACTGTGGATTGGAATTTTTTTTTTATTGCGATAGCTCTCAAATCTCAATGACCGATAGTAAATTTGCATAATCTGCAACTTTTATGTGAATAATTTTGTATACCTTAACCACACCAGCATCATCTTGACGACCCCAACCAGCAGCAGAACCTGATCAATAGTGAAGGTCAAGTGTTATCTTTATGCAAACTCAAAGACATAATAACCACTGTCTAAAAACACATTAAGTGCAACTAAAATGCTACTTCGTCTTGTATTCAAGACAACAGATTATCAGTGATGATCATAAAAGTGATTACAAATATAAAGGGTACCATACCTGCCAGGAATAGTTGGTGTGCAACAGTTGAAAGATGAAGTGGCACTTTTCGAGATGAGCATTCATGAGAAACAATGCCCTACAAATGTTTAGAACAGCTACTTTAAAACCTTAGGAATTATTTAAAAAAATTTTCTGTTTCCACATTACTCCAGATTAAAGAAGTCAAACCAGATCCTTCACAAAGATATCAAGTGCAGAATATGGGGTATAGTCATTGTCCAACATGTGAGGAACACGATTCTCAAACATCCTGCAATAACAATGTTAGCTTAGATTAGAAATAAACTTCAAAGCTGCTAAAATATTTTTGCAATAGGTTTGCTTATATTGGCTTTTGATAATGTTCTTACAATTGCTTCAAAATAAATTTTTTTTCTCCTCTTACTCTTTTTCTCCAAATTTTCTAAAATGTTCATTAGTGAACATGTGTGTGTGTACATGGACAAATTACAAAATCATAGGAGAAATTTTTGTGAACTGGCAGAGAGATAATTAGCATTATACCAATATTCACTGAAGTTTATAGATTTGAAAATTCTTCAGAAGGCTCTTTCTTTTCTCAATTAAAAGAGAGGGAAAAAGTATAAACAAACAAAGCAACAAGAAAACAAATCAACTACAGAAAAGATTTACCATGTACACCTTAGTTTCCTTGACAGTTCGCAATTCTTAAATTACCCCCAACCCAACCTCTCCTCCTCTCTTTTGCTCTCACTTCTTCACATTTTGTTTAGCAGGATGGTATTTCTTTTCATCGTTATAACCAAAGACAATATCTATGAGCCATTTCTCATAAAGAGTCGAATGAAACTAACATAGGATCAAATCAATGCAGATGATTTCTCATACTTGACTCAATCACGGAGAGTGTGTATATATATATATATATATCAATCAGATGGAGAGAAAAAGAAGAATTATTGCGTGCACAATACGAACCAGGATGTTCCTTCACTGTTCACTATGAAATCAAACAAGATCCTTGTATTGAGACCTAATCGAGCTCCAAATGCCATTGCCTCAGCTGCTGAAGCTATATGAACTCCAGCAAGTAACTGATTAACCATCTTCACACCACTGAAAATGATCGAGAGAATAAGATAAGGTCCTTCACCTCCAAGAATTTGGAAAACTGAATGCTTCCTAAATATATTAATAAAACTATATATAATTCATATGTCCGTGAATTAATGCTGAAATACCTTCCAGCTCCACAACCTCCCTTGATGACATATAGCTTCTCGCTTAATGCTGTTCACAATTAAGAGCCAAGCATAAATAGCTATCTAAATTTCAGAAAATTGTTTGACAGAAAATGGATTATGTGCAACATGTTTATTACCTGCAAGCACTGCACCAGTATGTATAAGAGCTTCGTCATCACCAGAAGCCATTATCTGAACAGAAATATTGAATCTATGTTAGGATCAATAAAGGAAAACCTATCTAATTTGTCAAACCAAAAGTGTTAATTTCAGACCGTAAGTGTTCCATCCGAGGCCCTCTTGACACCACCAGAAACAGGAGCATCCACCAATTTCAAATTTTTTCCTTCATCTATGACATTTGTAGGTTGATAATTAAACTATTGGAGTAGAACTTATAAACCAGGTATTGGAAAAATCATAAATGCTACCATTTAAAACATATCAAATAAACAAGATGAAACCACAAGGTCTCCCGCCGATTTGTGTCATCAGTATCTAGCTAATTAAAGATATTAAAAGATAATAACCTTAAAATATAATTATTAAACATACAGAAGCTCTTCTAAATGGTTTCTGTTAACTAAGCAAATTCATCAAAAACCAAGGGGCAAAATTAAGTATAAGACATATGGGAAGACCACCTTGGACCAAGAAAGAAAATGAGAGAGAATTAAGAAGCGAGTCAGTAAAAACTAAAAAGGGAAAAAGAGAAGAGCCTGAGTAATCTTCACCGATGAGCATGCATAACAAGCTTGTACTCTGGTTTTATTATCAAGTAATGAAGCCAAAGCTTTCAGAACATCATTTCAGCAAATATAAGGGAAATAGAGAGATGAAAAATTTAGAAAGCATTCATTTAGTTGAATATTTTGCGGATATTATAGAGAAATTGATTTATATTACTATTGAGTTGGTTAATATTTTTAAGATATATGATTTAAGTGAGTATGTGTGTGTGTATATATATATGTTCCTTTTTAATCTGACATTAAATAATTGATTTTCATTTTATATTCAGATAAGTACTGATTTCAAACAAAAAAAAAGTTAGAGATATTTTAATATCTATTTTTTGATCTAATTTACTAAATAATTGATATAGTAAATATATTATGAAACTTTAATTTGATTGTTGTATAAATGTTGTAAGGACTAGTTTTAAATAGAGTTTGGTTAGGAGTTAGATTCCTAATAGGTTTATAGTATCCTGTATATGTATATATGTGTCCCTATTGATGAAAATAATACAACAATAATTTTTCACATTAAATTACATGGTATCAGAGCCCAGGGGGCTCGTTAGGTTTTTTTTTCTCTGCTCTTTTGCATTGAAACTACAGGCAGAGGGTGTTTTTTGGTGACTGCCAGTCTAGGTCACCTAAATAGGCTGGTGTTTTTGTCTCACTGCCACCCAAGGAAGAAGGGCAGGCTGCCGATTGGCTCTCCCTCAAATCCGGTCACCGGAATCCTCGCGAGTGGACTTCATGCGCCACTCATACTTTCCGCTCCTCTTCACACCCCGGCACGTGTGGGTGCGTCCGGCCATCTCCTTTCACCGGCTCTCAGTTTCCGGCATCGATTCTGCCACTACAGTGCAACCCAGTGTGTTGCGTCGGCCCTCTTTGACTTTTGTGGTGTTTTTTGTGCTGCACCTTTGCTGCTGCCTTGCCGGATACAATCTGAATTTGTGAATTTATATTGTGTTGCTGCCTATTTGCTATTCTACTATCAAGTTACCAAGAATCGTAGTTTTCCTTTGCTGTGCTACATTTGTTTTTGAGCGTTTAATCACAAATCATGACGACTACTCCACCGGAGACTTCCGAATCGAAACCATGGAAAAACCTGTCATCATCTGATGTGGCGCCATTACTTTGGAATAAAATAACGAACACAAACTTAACTGCTCCCAATTTTTCTAGCATGGAGTAAACAGTTCTATATATTTTCGGAATTTCGATAAGGATGACACTTGACCAATGATCCAGCCTGAAGAGCATGCTAAGCAAATCTGCTTATAGAGGATGCTCGATTATTTTTACAGCTTCGAAATTCAATTGACAAGTGAGGTAATTGTTAATTAATCATTGTACGTTTGTAAGAAAATGATGGATGTATCTTGAATTTATGTACTCAGAAAAGCGTAATCTATCTCATATGTATGAGCGTCTGCAAAGGATTTTATCGAGCCGACCAGACAAGATAAGCCCCTCACAGCTTATTCATTGGAATTTAAGAAGATTTAAGAAAGGAAAACTTAACGTTTTATTGCCATTTACCGATATTAAGTTCAACAGACTCAGCGAGAACAAATGGATAATGAGTTTTCTTTGCAGTCTTGCTCCGGCTGCCAAATCACAGGTTCTTTCAAGTAGTGACGTTACCTCTCTTCAGGAGGCTTTCGCTAGATTACTACGTACTGAAGGTTCTCATACCCCTTCCCCTTATGATAATGGTGCCCTTGTGAGTCGTAATCAGATCGTTAGACAGCTAGGAAACAGAGGAAGAGGAGGAAATAACCATAGTAATGGACCAATTAATCGGGAGGCAAGCATTCTTATCTGCCGTTATTGCCATGAACCTGGTCACACTAACGGTATTGTAAGAAACTGATAAATAAGCCCCCAAGGGTAAATATGGCTACTCAAGATTCTGCAATTACTTATTCTGAGAACACTGTAACAATTTCTGCTGCGGAGTATGCTGAGCTCTCTAGATACCGTTCTTCTAAGTCTACTGATTCCTTAATTGCTGCTGCTGCCAATTCAGGTACTCCTACTACATGTCTTATGTCTACCTCATCCGAGTGGGTCATTGATTCTAGTTGCACAGATCATATGACAGGTAACCCTAGTCTCTTATCCTCAGTAAAAGAACCTGAACAATTTAATCATCATGTTACTCTAGCTGATGGGTCCACATCTCAAGTGTAATTGGCGACCGGCCAATCCCAATTCCCATCTCTTCCGTTAATTCTTCTGTTTTTGTTGCCTCATTTTTCCGTCAATCTATAATTGTTAGGCAAAATTACTCGACTACTGAAATTGTTTGTTAAAAAATTTTATCCTACCTATTGTGTGTTTCAGGATCTTTTGACGAAGCGGATTATTGGTAGAGGACGTGAGTCTGGTGGCCTTTATCTTCTAGATGAACAAGTTTTGTCATCTCTAGCTTGTGTTGGTGCTCTCTCTCTTCTTGAGGTTCATTGTCGTTTGGGTCATCCTTAATTGACTACTTTAAAGAAGTTTTGTCCGCAGTTTCAGTCTTTATCGATTTTAAAATGTGAATCTTGTCAATTTGCCAAACATCATCGTTTACCTTTAGTTCCTCGAGTCAATAAACTGGTTTCATCCCCTTTTGAGTTAGTTCATTCTCGATATCTCGTAACTTTTATGGATGATTATGCTCGTGTTACTTGGTTATTTTTAATGAAAACTCGTTCTGAGATATTCTCTATTTTCTGTTCCTTTTGTGCTGAGATTAAAACTCAATTTAATACCTCTGTCCGCACATTGCAAAGTGACAATGCTGAAGAATATCTATCTAGTTCCTTCCAATCTTATATGTCGCAGAATGGTATTCTTCATCAAACATCTTGTGTTGATACTCCTCAAAATGGGGTTGCAGAAAGGAAAAATCGACATCTTCTTGAGATTGCTAGGGCAGCACTCCTATTTCAAATGAAGGTCCCTAAACATTTTTGGGCGGATGCCGTCTCTACTGCATGTTTTTTTATTAATCGCATGCCTTCTTCTGTGCTTAATAGTGCAATTCCTTATAGCGTCTTGTTTCCTTCTAAACTTTTATTCCTTATTGAGCCTCATATTTTTGGTTGTACTTGTTTTGTTCGTGATGTTCGTCCACAGATTTCCAAATTAGATCCAAAATCCATTTGTTGTATTTTCCTTGGGTATTCTCAGCATCAAAAGAGATATCGTTATTTCTCTCTTGATCTTGACCGTTCTCTTATTTCTGTCAATGTCACATTTTTTGAGAGTACTCCATTTTTTCCTTCTCATATATATAAGAGTGAGGGGGAGGATGATGAGCTTTTAATCTACTCTATCCAACAATTTCCTAACTCTCCTGCTCCTATTCCTGTTCCTGAACTTGCACCTGCTCCTGTTACAGCGTCTGCTCCTCCTATTCCCCCTCCTGCACCAGCATCTGTCTGCCCTCATTTTGAACAGCTTTATTCCACGAGACCCAGTCACTTCCCCTATCTACCACTTCAACAGAAGATCCGGTTCCCTCCACTCAACCTGAGCCTGTGCCATCCACTCCTCAGTCAGACCTTGACCTTTCCATTGTTCTTCGAAAAGGTAAACGCAAGTGTACCCATCCTATTTCTTCTTTTGTTAGTTATGATCTCTCCTTCAATCTCGTTTGTTTTGTAAGTAACCTTAGACTCACATCTCCTATCCCTAAAAACTGTTGTTCAAAGCTTGTCCATCCTGGTTTGGTGATGCAGCTAATGAAAACGAGGAGATGCTACCTTATATACTAATGGTACTTGATCTTGTGGCCTCTCCCAGCAGGTAAGAAAACTATTGTTTTTGTAAAATGGTTTTCATAGTTAAAATGAATCCGATGGATCTGTTGCCCGTCTCAAGGCTCATTAGTTGCTAAAGGCTATTCTCATTTATGGCCTTGATTACTCTGATACTAATTTTCTCCTGTAGCCAAATTTGTCTCTGTCTGTTTGTTTGTTATTCTTTAGCAGCTACTTTTATTGACTTATACATCATTCTGATTTAAGAATGCCTTCTTCATGGGAATCTTCAGGAGGAAGTTTACATAAGCAAAACCACCAGGCTTTATTTGCTCAGAGGAGTGGGTTAAAGTGTGTGACTTCGAAAAATCCTTTATGCTAAAACAGATCCTTCGAAGCATTGTTGGTAGATTGCAATGTGTCACCATTGGCCATGTAAAGAAGAGTACTTCTGATCAATTCTGTATTTTTCAGAAGTACTAAGACTAGTTTGATTCTACTTGTGGTTATGTATACATTGTTTTTACAGGGAGTGGTATTCTGCAGGCATTGCATCATCAATCATATCCTCCAGGACTCATTCCAGAACCAAAAAGACTAGATGTGAAGCTATTTTTTGGGTATAAAGTATCTTTGTGTAAGAGAGCATCTTCTATCTCAAAGGAAGTATTGTCCTTGAATACTAAAGTAAAACGAAAGTGGTCCAAGCCATCAGTGCCTCCCAAGACTCCTAATTTGCAAACTTTCAATTGTGATAAAGCATTGATCTTGAATGTATAAAAGCATTGTAGCAAATGAAATTATTCTTACTGTTAACAAGTCCAATATTGCTACTCTGTGAGCGTCTTCAAGCCAGTTTATGTCTTCTCCTACTGTTATCATTGGGAAGCTTAGACAAATTTTCGCTCGTTGGAAAGTAATCCAGGTCTGGCCTCCTTTACAGTAATCATGGGCATTTGGACATTGAGTGTTTTCGGATGCGATTGGACAGTTCGAAGGTTTATAGAGATTAAAACTTCGAGGGATATTGGTCTGTGGGTGAAACTTGATATCTTGTGAGAGCAAAGAAACCCAAAATATAGTCCACGATCTAGGCGAATATAAAATACGACGATGGCGCAATCTGCTTGTGAAATTAATTTGGATTCGTCAATTAGAGAAATGGCTTCAATCGTTTCCTTGCCTGTCAAAGTTATGGTTGATAATCAAATTGCTCTTCACATTGCCATCAAATCCAGTATTCCATAGAAAACCGAACAAACATAATTAGAATAGATTTTCATTTCATCGGAAAGATACAAACCAACGGTGTTATCTCTACAGCACGTTAAAACAAATCATGAACAGTTAAGAATTTTCTTTACAAAAGCTCTAAATCGACCTCAGGTTAAGGACCTCAGGTTAACTATCTTTGTAACAAGTTGGGCATGATTAACATCTATGCTCCAACTTGAGGGGGAGTGTTAAGGACTAGTTGTAAATAGAATTCAGTTAGGAGTTAGATTCCTAAGAGGTTTATAGCATCCTGTATATGTATATATATGTGTCCCTATTGATGAAAATAATACAACAATAATTTTCCACATTAAATTACAAATGTTAAATGGAGTAAATCACATTCCAAAATAATAAACGCGACTTTTGATCAACATTTTATTCTTAATATTTTTAGTTTGTTGTCATCATATTTCATATTTTTCCCATATTGCAATTCATAATTATAAAATGATATCACTTAATTTATTATTTTAAGCTTTAATTAAAAAACAAATAATTATATATTTTTTTAGCAATTATTATTTAAAAATAAATTGATTTAACCACGGCATAGAACGGGCCAAGAAATGTATTTGTCCATTTATTTGTATTTATATATATGTATATATGTATAGTATTAATGAATTCATTAACTATCTAGAGAGCTTCACTGAATCTTTAATTATTGTAAGTTAATATGATAGCAGAAAATGTAAAAAGTGTTGGGATAAAGAATGGGTGATGCACAAATTTATAAATATGCAGCACAACCTAAAAGAATAGCGTTCATAATGTTCTCTACCAGTTAGAATTATCATGAACGAAGTCAAGAAATGTGAACTGATGATATTAGAAATACTTTCTTTAAAAAAAATCAATTTTCTAACAAAATTTTATTCAAAATTACATTCGTTAATAAATAACATTTATCTCAAATTTTAATACAAACTTTTATCGTACGATACTATATTTCTTTAATAAATATGGTATTTATGATAATTAACCAGCACATCATGCAGGGCTACGTACTCAGTAACAACTAAGCACTAGAATCTTAAATTTCCACATCACTTTCAAGGAATGTTCAGAAACCTAAATGCACCCTGAAGCACATTTACTTTAATGTATCTTGAAAATTTGCACGGATTTATAGTACCATATTTGTGAATCAGCCATAAGATCATAATGATGCTCATATTAAATAGCTTCTTCTATTATCTTATTAATGTGTCTTATTTTGAAAAAAACTGAGGAAAAAATTAACCATAAATTTATAGAATTCTCAAAATGCATAAAAAAAGGGCATAATTTCAAAGGCTTAGTTGGGGTTAAGCCTTAGTTGTTTTTGATGTCGTTGTTGTAAAAGAAACAAAAGAAAAGAAAACATAAAAGAGAAGGTATGACATACTTTGCAAGCGTTGCTCTAATTGGATCACAAATCCAGGAGATACAGTAGACGAAAGAATGATGGATGATCCCGATGGAAGTACTATAGAACACAATAATAAAGTCAATAACTTTTCACCAGAACATAAAAAATATTACAAATTTAAAATAGTCGTTAATTATTTCAAATTAATTAAGATAATATACAGTGGCAGTTCAAAAAAAGAATAAATAATGTGGGTGTTACCTGGAACTGCACCGTGATCACCATACAAGACGCTCTCAGCTTGAGCTTCATTTGTAACCATAATGACAAGCACATCAACATCTAGACAAAAAAAAAAAATGTATAATCAATAATACCAATAAGCTTACTTTTAAAAAACTAAATTCACCACTCTATATTAGAACTCCATCTAGCTTCCTGATCATAGTTCACAGCTAATATGATTCTGCAATCAACACGAAGTGGTAGAATATAGGAATTCAAATTCAAACAAATCTCAAGAAAAAATTTACATTAGCAAAGATATACTGCTACCAAATAAAGGTCGTTTCTTCTGGAAACATCAAGCCAGGGAGCACACCCAAACATAGACCAGCAGAGCTAGAAGAGTTTCTTGACACTCCAGACACAGGATAGTGGTTGCGATATAAGTATCAGTCATGGCATTGTACTTTATATGCAAAGCTTAACATTATGAATATCATAGCAGGACCCAAATTTTTTTTTTTAACCTTATCTTATATCACTTGGTGTCACATTTGCCTATCTCACACACAGCTACACCAGTAGTCACAGACATGCAAATAGACACATACACAAACACAGAACCTATGCATTCATTTAAGAATATGTTTACAATTGGTATCCTAAACAGGTTTATTAGGGTTCTCCAATGAGCATAGCACTATACTTGAGTTGATAACCCAAGGAAAAAGAATACACAAGAAACAACTCAGGCTAAGGTTCTAATGCTCTTCAAGTTTGTAATGAGACATCAAGCAGTACTTATTTAATTTCACCTGGTTCATACAGCCAACCACTACTGGTTTTGGGTTAAGGCTTAGTTTATTCGGGATATTATATCTTACAATGGATGTAACAAAAGAAGTTTTTCTATTGAGGACCTTTAATGTTGATTTTTCCCCATTTACTTTCTTGCTCCTTTGTTCCTCCTAAAGTTTCTGTATTTCAAAAAATAATTCTTTCCAATCACATTTTGACTACTTTTATATGGATGGCTACTCACAGAGATGTGTTTTGGCCAAAATGCATCATCTATCTACTATTACCTCATTTTTAGTCTACACAGACTATTTTGTGGAAGATTTAGTCTAGGAGAATAACTTCCAATATTCAATGCCTAAAAACTTCAGTTTCTTATCAAGTTGCATAAAAGAAGTAGAAAAGCCGAGATCCATAAGCAACACTTGCACTAGCAATATAAAGCACTAACATTCTGTGCCAAACAGAAGGCAAGTAACACATTGAGCTGCAAGCCCCTCTAAGCCATATTCTGTTATAACCTCCTAAGCATCAAATTAAGTTGAACAGTATACAACACCAAAGAAAATTGCAACTGAGAAATGAAGAACCTGACAAAAAAGCTAGCTCTACTGATCTTGCATCACGTTTTTTACTTTCCAACTCAAATTCATGACCTACTGGCCTTAAATTACCTTTGGACACTTCTGCTGGAGAGTTGCCAATCAAGCCTCCAGCATCTGTGAATCGATTCAGTGTTGGTTTATATGCCTGCCACCCAAGAATACATCTAATTTAAATTTGCAATTTAATTTTCAACTAAACATCTAAATCAACAAAAAAAAAAGGTTATGTATCAATCAAGCCGTAAGAAAAGTTAACCATCAGCATACCATGAAAGCAAACATATACTTAAATTATCATACATAGAGAAATAATCCACATGCATGACAATGATAAATGTGCATTCTTTAATCTTTTCTCCTATCCATGTAATGCAATCACCATCTCTTCTTAGAAACTGGCTGGCAAGTGAAAGGATTTTGAAATTAGTAGCCATTAATTACTTAAAAGTTCATAAATAGATATTTTGCTTTTGATTCATTCACTTGATAGATTTAAAATTTTAACAAATCCACTGCAATTTAGAGTCAGAATGAACTAGAGGTCTGAACTCAACTAAGCTCACAGTTAAGAGAAAATATCTTGAACCATTTAGTTCCAATTTTCCAAAATTAGATAACAAAGGAGGGCAAATGATGAATCTTCATTATACAAAGCTTGATCTATTGTAGACTGCATGAGAACTAAAGAAATTTGGCAATATTTTAGACAGAATAATAACAGACATTTTCTAGCATCAAGCATAATTTTTCTAGCATCAAGCATAAATTGACTCTTTTAATTGGAAATATAGTTGGAAACAGAGAGAGGAATTACATCATAACCAATAACACAGAAATTTGATTTCAGCAGATGAGTTGCCATGCCAAATCCCATTGCACCAAGACCAATGAAACCAATTCTCTTCACAACAGCAGACCCAGAAGTAATTTGGCAAGCTACTTGCTCAGGGCTATAGGGCTCTGCACTGGCTGCTTCTTGAATATTTACTCTATGGATCTTTTCCCAGGCCTAGAAAAGAGTTGTAGAATGTACAGATAACAAAGCATCTTTCAAACCAATTTTTCTTCATATAACAGTTTAAGAGCAATCCACAGCCAACCTGCTAAAAGAAATTTCAAAAGAACAGTAGTGGGAATAACCTTGAGCAATGTGACATCATTATCATCTCCAGTAGCATATGTAGATCCTACAAATAAAAATTTAATGAGCAGAAACTTGGTGATTTGAATAATTCACAAACAGCACATGATAGTGATTTTACCAAGAATAAGCTGTTGATGAGAAACTGCCAAAAGTGGAAGAGGAAATGCAAGTGATTTGGCCTGAGCCAAAATAATACCCTGGATGCCATTAAAAAAAAAAAAAAAAAAAAAAAAAAAAAAAAAAAAAAAAGCTAGACGTATAAATACAATAAACAATGCTTGCTCAAAAAATTCAAAGATATTTCTAAAAAACAATGGTCATAGTAATGGATGTATCAAATGCTAAAAAAAAAACCTCCAAGATAAAATTAATGCGCTCAAATACTAATAGATTGCTTTTCTTAAACTTCAACCAAAAAAAAAAAAAAAAAAAAAGCTAAGACTATAAATACAATAACAATGCTTCTCAAAAATTCAAAATATTCTAAAAACAATGGTCATAGGTAATGGATGTTATCAAATGCTAAAAAAAACCTCCAAGATAAAATTATGCCTCAAATTACTAATTTAGATTGCTTTGTCTTAAAACTTCAACCATATCTCATCCCTCTCATGCAAAAATGAAAAAGAAAGCTACCAAAATACTATTATATTTTCTATGTTCATAAAGAAATCAGTATTTGCTGGTACTTCTCAAAATTTACATAAAAACTTTTACAGCATAAACTAAGTTGCACCAACAGTGTTTGACATTAAGTACTATATCCTCAGTTCTCATGCTTGATTTCATCCACAGTCAGTCAAATTCAGCTGATTGCTTCATCACAATTTGTCACATGAAATTTATACCTTTCAATTTTATTTCAATCTCACCATACCAAATTCTAGAAAAATTCAACTAGGTGATGTATGTATCAGCCAGTTAGTATTGTAAGAAATTTTTTATTAAAGCCTCTTTAGATGGAGCCGTTACAAGTCAATTGGCATTAGGGCTTTTGGTAAACATGATATCCAAAGCCCCATTTCAAAATATAGTAATTAGCAGTTCAAAATTAAAAATTGAAAAGCTAAAAGTTGAGATTTCTAGTTAATAGTATTTGGGCCTCCAACCACCACTCTCTAACCTCTAGTTAGCAGCCAACAACAGCTAACTATAATCATACTCAAAGAAGACTTTAGTTGGTCACTAAATCAGAGATCCATTGGAGTCTCTATCAAAATACAGCAATTGCAGCTTTATTGAAATTCAAATTAATTTATCTGATAAGTGATAAATTTGAAAATTTATTGAACATGCTGAATTTGGTAATCAATTAGTGACCCTAAGAGAAATTGACCCTCAATAGTTCTCAAAAATACTTGTACCTTGTATTCTAAGCCTTAAACAACTCTAACATCTTTCTCCACTAGCAAACACCTGACTAATATCAGCTAATCAAACTCTTGCCACCAATTTTTTCATCAATTTCAACCATACATTCTGATATTGGAGATATCCTCCATCATCTCAAAGGATCTGTTGATGAAACAAAGTTTGTTTCTCTTTTATTCAATAGTAACAGACTTTTGGAGGAATAATATTCTAGATAAATTTTCATTAATCATTTACTAAAAGCATAAATTTTAATACAAATCAACAACATTTCCACTTTCACTTTTTAACGAAAACTTAAAAGTAAAAAAAAAAAAATCTTTCAATAAGTATGAGGGGGCTTCTCTCCCTCCAAGTACTCAATAGAACTACAAAAAAAGCAGAAGTTAACCCTTTTCTATTCACAATGAGCTAATATGAAATTAAATGACAAGACCAGAGATACTTTAGTTATAGCTTTCAAGGATGGAAAAGACCTACCCCTTTGGCATCTTTTGTTCTCTTTAGTCATTATCAATGGTTCTTGCCATTTTATTTATGGCCAACAATTTAGCATCGAAGGCTATTCATTTAATCCAAGGAAATCAACAATTATATATAATTATTAATGAATGCAACAAAATGTAAAACATGTACCACTATGGTGTATCTTACCAAATCTTGGACCAAATTATTGAGGGAATGAGGCTTGGCATCACCTCTTAACCACTCAGGTACATGATTCTTGAAAACCCTGCATTCAGAAAACAATATTCCCTATCCATAAGCCCCAAAGGAAACAGAAAAGAAAAGAAAAACACAAAGGTCAAGTAGTATATTTCAAATTATTAACCAAGATAACAAGAATAAATAAAAGACAAAAAGCTAAAGGTGGTTAACATCCAGAAATGACTATAATGAGTAGAATTTTAGCACATTAACTTATTAGCTTAATGCATCCAAAAGTGAACAAGGGACCATTGTATTAATAACTATTACTAGTTTTCTAACTCCACCATAAACAGTTTTAACTTAAATTATGAAAGTGACATGGCAAGAGATGACGATGATGATGATGGGGAAAATAATAATGACAAATTGACAAAGGATAAGAACAATGGCGAGAGATGATGACAATGATAGGAAGAATAGATTAAGATTTATCCACACTAATTTGCAAAATAGATTAAGATTTCATCAACTTTGTAAGCTACAATAGGTATGAAACATTCAAGAAATGAAAACATACTAGTATACTCAAGTTAGTTTTAGAGAATAGAAAAGATAATATTGTGGTGATAATTGTAACATTGATGGACTGCTGGTTGATGATAATGATGTTAGTGGTAGACAACTGCGATGGCAATTGTAGTACTTTGCATGTTTATCCATGCTAATTTGCAAAATAGATTAAGATTCTTTCAATTTTGAAGCTTTAATAGGTGTAAATTTAATGTGGAAAAATATTTTCTTCTATTTGATTTATCAATAGGGAGACACACACACATATATATATATATCAGGATACTATAAACCTATTAGGAATCTAACTCCTACTAGAACTCTATTTACAACTAGTCCTTACCACTCACCCCCTCAAGTTGGAGCATAGATATTGATCATCCCCAACTTGTCACAAAGACAGTTAACCCGAGGCTCATTTAGAGCTTTTGTAAAGATATCTCCTAACTGTTCACTTGTTTTAACGTGCCCTGTAGAGATAACACCTTGTTGTATCTTTTCACGGATGAAATGACAATCAATCTCGATATTTTTTGTTCGCTCATAGAATACTGGATTTGATGCAATGTGAAGAGCAGCTTGATTATCACACCATAGCAAGCCAATTCTCTAACAACTGATTGAACCCAAATTAATTCAACAAGTAGATTGTGCCATAGCTCATATTCAGCACTTGATCGTGAGACTGCATTTGTTTCTTGCTCCTCCACGATATCAAGTTTCCAACCCACAAAGACAACAATATCCTGAATTGGATCTCAATCAACCTTCAAACCTGCCCAATCTGCATCTAAAAGCACTCAACGTCAAATGCCCATGATTACTGTAAAGGAGGCCGACGACTGATTACCTTTCAAGTAGCACAAAATATGTCCTAAAGGCTTCCCAATGCGAATAACAGTAGGAGAAGATAAAAAATGCTTAAGATGCTCACGGAGTAAGCAATATCTGGACGTTTACCGTAAGATAATTCAGTTGCCCCCAATTCTCTATACATCTCTGGATCATCAAAAGCTCTACCACCGAAAGTTGCAAATTAGATCATTTGGAGCACTGCATGCTTGGCACCCAACTTTCAGTTTCCTTTCAGTAATCAAGGAACGTACTTCCTCCCAACTTTCCAGTTTCCTTCAGTAAGTCAAGGACGTACTTCCTTTGAGATAAGAAGATGCCTTTCTTACACCTAGACACTTCAATACCCAAAAAATCCTTCAACAATCCTAAGTCTTTTGTCTGGAACTGGGTTTTTTATCAACATGGAGATCGTGGTAAATGCATTTATTTGGTGGTTTATGTTGACGACATTTTCATAACGGGCGATGATCACCAAGGGATCTCTCACCTTAAGGACCACTTGTTTAGCCACTTTCAAATCAAGGACCTGGGAAAACTGAAATATTTTTTGGGGATAGAGGTAGCTCAATCCAAGACCGGTGTTACAATCTCACAAAGGAAATATGCACTAGATATACTAGAAGAAATTGGCATGGTAGACTGCAAACTTGTGGATACTCCTATGGATCCTAATGTGAAACTTGTTCCAGGATAGGGAGAGCTATTTAAAGACCCTGGTAGATACAGAAGGCTTGTTGTTAAGCTTAATTATCTCACAATCAAATGACCGGATATTTCTTTTGCAGTTAGTGTAGTTAGCCAGTTTCTCCAATCCCTGTGTGATGGCCATTGAGATGCTATTGTTTGCATTCTAAGGTATATCAAAGGTACCCCTGGACAAGGTTTGTTATATGAAGATAGAGGTCATACACAAGTAGGTGGCTACTTTGATGCTGATGGGCAGGTTCTTCATCTAATAGACAGTCTACTTCAGGCTATTGTGATTGGAGGAAAATTTAATATCCTGGAAGAGTAAAAAGTAGGGTGTTGTGGCTAGGTCAAGTGCAGAAGTGGAATATCGAGCTATGGCATTGGCTACTTTTGAACTTATTTGGTTGAAACAACTTCTTCAGGAGATGAAGTGTGGCGAAGTGAAACAAATGAAACTAATATGTGATAATCAGGCAGCACTACATATTGCCTCAAATCCAATGTTCCATGAAAGAACAAAACACATAGAGATAGATTGTCACTTTATTAGGCAAAAGATTCAATCAGGCTGTATTATCGCATCCTTCGTTAATTCGAGTGATCAATTGGCAGATGTTCTCACCAAATCCCTTACAAGTTCTCGGATTGATTTTATTTGTGACAAGCTAGAAGCTTATGATATGTATGCTCCAGCTTAAGGGGGAGTGTTAGAATATTTTGTAGATATGTGAGAATACTTTGTATTTTATTGTTGAATGTCCTACTAGAGTTAGGAGTCCTATTAGAGCTAGGATGTGTTAATTCTTGGTGTATTTAAACCGAAAGTGCTTAAAGGAATAAATAAGCAAAAGCTTCAAACCCTGTCTTTTTTCTCAACTATGAATCACCCTAAACAAGTGAGTAGGCTACATATCCTTAGAGCATCCAAAGAATCTATTTTAGATATTTCAAGAGTGATTTAAAATTTGAATTCTGGAGCAAACAGTATATCTGTTTAGGGAATGGTATTTAAAAAAAAAAAAAAAAAAGCAACATAAATTGCAATATTTGCACTCACCATGAATTTCCAGCAGCATTGGAAATGATGTCATAGACCATCCATGGATGAGTTGCAGCTTGAGCACCAAGAGAAATAGCCTCTGCTGAAGCAACGAGATGAATGCCCTCAAGCAGCTGATTGACCATTTTAATTTTACTATTAAGAAAAGAAAATATATATTTATATATCATTTTCTAAAGGTCAATGACAGTATCTATTAAATTCTACAATTTTGTAAAAAATATTTATATCCAGGAAGCATTTCATCTCTTATCTAAATTAGTACATAAGATACAAGTCATTTTTCTCATCTAAAATTTCCATTGCTGAAATAATAATTTGATGAAAATGTAACAGAAAGAATAGCAACTAAATACTGTTCATGATTATGATAAAAAGATCGAAAGGAACAAGAATAAAACACACCGTCCCGCGCCAACTTCACCCTCAAAAATGTAAAGCTTTTCACACATTGCTGTAAGAGCACAATGATTTGAATCAGAAAATATATAGACAGGCTAAAATACAAATCTAAATGTTCCCACGAAAATAAGTATTTTTTATAATATGATTCCTACCACAGAGAATAGGTCGTGCCTTTGCAATAGCTTCAGATGTCCCCGAGGAAGTAATCTAGAAATTGCAAAATCAAATAGGATTTTCCTTAATAGAAATTAACCCATTGTAATTAGGACTTCAACTCTATATCCAGTATCAAGCAAAGGAGGACAAAGAACATATGATATAATATAAGCAAGAATGTTACCATGATTCTTCCATTTAAGGCCTCAGATGTTCCCCTGGTTACATACGCATCTACTAAATAAGTGAGCATACCATCCTCTGCAAGAGAAAAAGACATGCCAAATTTATGATAACTTCTCCATGATCATGTTATTTTTGAGAAAGACGGCAATCATTAGAATCATGAACTTATTATCAGAAAAAGGAGAACTCTTTCAAAGAGACTCTTGTACTATATAACATTAGCAGAAATTTACCCAAGAGACGTTTCTCCAGATTTTGGATATGCAATGGCACAATAGTTGAGCGTAGAATAAAGACTGCTTCTTTCAGCAACCCTGCATGCACAAAATGAAGTTACATGTCAATGTATGACAGATAAAATATCATAATATAATCATGGAGAGGTTAAAGAAGACCTTTTAAAGCACCCTGTTGACCAAATATCACATCATTGATTTGATTAACATGAGATATTAATACAACCAAAGCTGCAACATCTGCAGAAGAATTAGAAACACTTGGTTAAATCACAAATCCCATAAGACATTAAATTTAAGAATCAGAATCAAACCCAAGAATTACAGCTTGCTTCGCTGTGGCTAGAGTTATGAGAAAAGAAGAATGGTTAGGCATAGCAATGAATGATGCAGGGATTTGACCTAAACAAATTCCCAAATTCCTCGTAAATTTATCTAGAAAGGGGAAATAACGAAAAGCTCAACATTGATATGCTTTGACAATGTGCTTCCACAGAAAGTAGGAAGTAGGAATTATCATCCCTAAGTTTCAATGTTCCTTGCCCACACTGACACTGTGCACTTTATGTTACTATAGATGTAACTCTATCCAGTATAACTAAATTAAGACAGAATCCATTATAATTAACACTAAGAAAATTATCAATAAAATAAATAAGCAGGTAAGCTCATGTAGACAGTAGACTGCAATGGCAGATTTTTAAATCTGGCATTGTAATCATTTTTCCAGACACATATATTCTTCATTCAGATTGTTCAAGCACTGTATAACAGTCACGGTTCCTAATCAACTAAAGCTGCTAACAGAACACCTCAATACTTGAAGTCTTGAACCTTGCAAGCAAAGGCTTTATGTTACAGGAGCAGTAGGTCCTTCTATTTCAGAAAGTCCAAACAGTATGAAGCCAGAGTAAAATCATTTATACTCATGATTTAGCATTTATATTAATTTATTATTTTTTCTTTGAGAGTTTATTACTAGTATTATTGTGATGCAGAATCCGAAGAATTGCGTCTTGACACCCCAAAATCAGATTTCATATATAAACCCTAAATCCCAAATTAGGAACCCGATTCCCAAATTAGGAATTTCTTCTTGGATGAAATAGCAGATCCTGACCCAATAATTAACTAGAAGTATGAATCAAAGATATCAAGATAAAAGAATGAATGCCACAAAAATTAATTAACTTTGATAAGTTCGAAAGCAAGTTCAATAAAGAACCAAAGAGAATTCGCCTTTCTTGAATTTGATTGCATAAAACGCAAAAACTGAAATTTGTATATCAATATCTGTTACAATATTGAAAATTAAGTATTTAACAGCTAAAAAACCCTATAAAATAAATAAAATATAAGGCCCAATTTAAATGGGCTGAATTATGTTAATCAAAACATAAAATAAGTAAAAGACTCAAGGCCCACTTTGGATCATATTAATTAGCCTTGGATCTATCCATCTCTTCATGTCTATGAGCTTGTTGATTTCCATTACTCGACACGCATTATATTGTCTCAAAGATGGATTGAGTCTAGCCAAATTCCATGCTGAAATTACATTTTCACAATTTAATACTCCAAAAGGAATTAATTTCGTTCTAGGGTAATTACCATGGTAGAGTAGGGGAATTGCATTGATAATACATAAATGAGTCTTTTACGTTCTTATGAATTATTTATAGCAGGCATAATTAGGTAGAGTCAATAAGCAATAGAAAGCTAAAACATTAAGTCAAAGAAATTTGCCAGACTCTGGAAAACAAATAAAAAGTATGACAAGATAACAAAAGCCAAAGGTAGTTATGACCTCCTTCGGCATGATCACAAATTTCTCTGAATAATTGTATAGCCCAAGGAGAATATGTTTCAATATGAAAATCAACTTTAATGGTATCTTTATTCCAATTTCTCTTCCTCTATTTTCTATCTTCTTCAAATACCATATATGGGTAATGGCCAATGACCAATTTTTGTTTTATTTGTGATTTCCAAGTTAGCATTGATGAATGTTGCTATTATTTTATTTACCATTTCAAACTTAGCATTGATGAATATTGCTATTATCTAGTACCAACATAGTTTAAACAATCCCTAAAATGTTTATCTTTTAAGTTTTTTTATTGTTTGCATTGATGTTTCTACTCTTGCACTATTGTAGTTCACATCATATGAAGATTCATGCTTTCCTCTTAACGCAGTTAACCCACTTCTGAAATGACTGTGCAATTGGCTGCCATGAAGCAACACAGAAATTGTGATATTCCGACTGCGGGACACAGGAATGAATCGAATCACATATCGAAAAGGGGGAAATTAATCAACAGAGGCGCCTTTTGGTGAAATGGCTTAGAGAGTTGGAAGAACTCTAAGGTTAAGCGTGCTCGCTTAACGGAAATCCTAAAACGGGTGACCACCTAGGAAGTTCTCCATTTCACCTGCAGGACAAAACCGTAAGTCTATGGAATATAGTTAATGGGCTGAAGCCATAACTATGATTAGAATATGGGTTTAACTAATATAGGCTTACTACGGGCATAGGAGGCCTTAAGCCCACCCAGGTCTTAGTGCCGGTCCGGCCCTTGGAAACGGGTCGTGACAGAAACCTTTGATGATAATTCCTTTAGTGAAAACCAAACAGTGCTATTGTTATAATTTGGCTTGTCCAAAAGTTAATTGATCAAAGGGACTAACATTCTCTTTCCATTATTTGGTCACTCCAATATTTAGCTTTATTGTAAATATAAACCACTGATGTATTATAGTTCATAACAGATAGATGTGAGTCTGGAGAACATATGTTATTCTTTCATTCATATGACGAGATGTTAAAACTAAGACTAAAGCCTCACGCAATAAGCAAGTTCTTGCATTAGCACAAACCAACTAGTGAAAATTATTATTAAACATACATAGTATACAAGCAAAGTCAAAAACGTCTTACATACATCCCATATTGAAAATATAATGGCATCTAGCTAACTTAACTATTAAAAATTAATCTATACTATATATAAATGTGAGAATAGGGGGGATAATGAGATTTCCTATACTAGTATTAGTTTAATTTAAAATTTCTAATATATCATTTTAGTTATATTTTTAATGCATTCTAATTAGAGAAAATAGGTTCATTTATTCTTTGAAGATCCTTTTAGTTATATTTTTTATGTCTTTTAAGTTGAGAAAATAGATTCCATTTATCCTTTTGAATATCCTTTTACTTAATTTTTTATGCATTTTAATTCGAGAAAATATGTATATTTATATTCTCTATTTGATCTTGCAGTATTATTATTCTTGAAAATTAACATATTTTGATGTTCTTAATTACACGTTTTCACGTGATATTGCTTTCTATAAGGTAAATTGAAAACCTTATTCAAGTATTGAACTATTCTCTATTTGATCTTGCAGTATTATTATTCAATGATTTTTATAATTAATATATTTTGATGTTCTTAATTACAGGTTCTCAAGTTATATTGCTTTCTATGAGGTAAATTGGAAACCTTAATTCAAGTATTAAATATGAAACTTAAATTCTTTTAATTTATTATCCTGAATTTTTTAAAATATGTTTAAATAATTTATTATTAGAGTCTATTAGTTAAATACAATAAAATTAAAATAAATTTTTTAAATATATTCTATCTTTGATTTAGACTTTTTTGGATTATTCACACTATTGTTATTTTAAAATTTTTTATAATTCTAATTTAACAAAAACAATATAATTAAGGAATCATAGCATTTTACTAATATATCAAACAAGAAAGTTTTTCCTTTTTTTCGTCTAATGAAATCTTTTTAAAAAAAACAGGTTATAAAAGTTTGAATTAATGAAAAAAAAAAAAGGCTATTTAGGCATATTTGCTATCATTCTTATTTTCAGCTTTTATATATTTGTAATTCAGTTAAAGAAAATATTCGTATTCCTGCATATTTCACCAATACGGTCACACACACACACACACACACACACACACACATATATATATATATATATATATTGTTTAAATAATTTATTTATTAGAAGTCCTATTAAGTTTAAAATTACAATAAAATTAAAATAAAAATTTTTTAAATATATTCTATCTTTGATTTAGGGACTTTTTTTGGAATTTATTCACACTATTGTTATTTTTAAAAAATTTTTTTATAATTTCCTAATTTAAAAACAAAAAAACCAATTAATAATTTAAGAAGGAAATCATAGCATTTTACCTAATATATCAACAAAGAAAGTTTTTTTCCCTTTTTTTTTTTTTTTATTTCCCGTCTAATGAAATCTTTTTAAAAAAAAACAGGTTTATAAAAAAGTTTTGGAATTAATGGAAAAAAAAAAAAAAAGGCTATTTATGGCATATTTGGCCTATCATTCTTATTTTCAAGCTTTTTAATATATTTGTAAATTCAGTTTTAAAGAAAAATATTAGTGAATTTCCTGGCATATTTCACCAAACGGTACAAACGACAACACACACAAACCACACACAACACACAAATAATTAATATATATAAATATATAGAAGATTTTACTAATAAACCTAATTAAGACACACATATATATATATATATATATAAGATTACTATAAACCTATTAGGAATCTAACTCTTAATAGAACTCTATTTATAACTAGTCCTTAACACTCTCCCTCAACTTAGAACATAGATGTCAATCATGCCCAACTTGTTATAAAGATAGTCAGCTCGAGGTCTATTTAGAGCTTTTGTAAAAATATCTCCTAACTATTCACTTGTTTTAACGTGCCCTGTATAGATAACTCCCTGTGGTATCTTTTCACGAATGAAATGATTACGAATCTCAATATGTTTTGTTTGTTCAATACGCAACAAAGGGACTTTGGATCGAATTTGAAAACCTGTGAACAGACACCACAATCAAAACAAGTACAACCAAAAAATACGAGGTTCAATGGGAAATAAAAGCTTAGAATGTAAACTAGTGGCGAAAAATATTTTTTTTTGTTGTATATTCATCAATAGGGACACACATATATATATACAGGATACTATAAACCTATTAGAAATCTAACTCCTACTAGAACTCTATTTACAACTAGTCCTTACCACTCCCTATTTTAACAAACTAGCCCTTTACCCAACTCCCCCACTCAAAGTGGAGCAATAGATATTGAATCATCCCAAACTTGTTTTACAAAGAATAGTTAACCCGAGGCTCATTTTAGAACTTTGTTAAAAGATATCTCAATAACTGT